GATCGTGCTCCCAAGAGATGCTCCTTCAGAGCCTTCTAGGGAGCCAGAGAAGATAGGGGAGCCTCTTGCTGTGCTTTCTGGTTCTACAGTCCCTCCTGTGGGAGACTCCTTGCCCTCAGAGGCCCCTGAGAAGTTCCACTTCGAGCAGGGCAAGTTTCACTGCAACTCATGCGCATTCCTCTGCTCTCGCCTCTCCTCCATCACCTCTCATGTGGCTGAGGGCTGCCGGGGTGGACGCGGGGGAGGAAAGCGAGGGGCCATCCAGACCCAGCCTGCCCTGTCCCCCCTGAGCGGCAGGGATTCTGCACCCCTGAGCAGTGGGAGTATGGAGCACAGCCCGGGGAATGGGGAGCCGGCTCTGCTGCCAAAGCAGAAGGCGGCCCGCTTCTCTTGCCCCACGTGTCCCTTTAGCTGCCAGCAGGAGCGGGCTCTGAGGACTCATCAGACCCGGGGCTGTCCCCTGGAGCCCTCTGGAGAGCTGCGCTGCGGCCTCTGCCCCTTCATCGCTCCTGCTGCTGCCGCCCTGAGGCTCCACCAGAAGCGCCGGCACCCTGCCACCGCCCCGGCCCCAGCCCGAGGCCCCCGGCCCCCTCTGCAGTGCGGAGACTGCGGCTTCACCTGTAAGCAGAGCCGGTGCCTGCAGCAGCACCGACGGCTGAAGCACGAGGGGGTGAAGCCACATCAGTGCCCCTTCTGCGACTTCTCCACCACCCGACGGTACCGGCTCGAGGCCCACCAGTCCCGACACACAGGGGTTGGCCGCATCCGCTGCAACTCCTGTCCTCAGACGTTCGGTACCAACTCCAAACTGCGCCTGCACCGGCTGAGGGTGCACGACAAAACGCCGACCCACTTCTGTCCCCTCTGTGACTACAGCGGCTACCTCCGCCATGACATCACCCGCCACGTCAACAGCTGCCACCAGGGCACCCCGGCCTTTGCCTGCACTCAGTGCGAGGCCCAGTTCAGCTCCGAGACGGCGCTCAAGCAGCACGCGCTGCGCCGGCATCCGGAGCCCACGCTGCCCACCCCTGGCTCTCCGGCGGAGGCTGCCGAAGGTCCCCTGCACTGCACCCGCTGCGGGCTGCTGTGCGCCAGCCCCGCCAGCCTGCGGGGGCACACCCGGAAGCAGCACCCCCGGCTCGAGTGTGGGGCCTGTCAGGAGGCCTTCCCCAGCCGGCCGGCACTGGACGAGCACCGGAGGCAGCAGCATTTCAGCCACCGCTGCCAGCTCTGTGACTTTGCTGCCCGGGAGCGGGTGGGCCTGGTGAAGCACTACTTGGAGCAGCACGAGGAGACTTCCGAGGCAGCGGCAGCCTCGGCCGGGGAGGGGGACTCCGGTCAGCCCCCTCTGCGCTGCCCCTTCTGTGACTTTGCCTGCCGCCACCAGCTGGTGCTGGATCACCACGTGAAAGGGCATGGGGGCACCCGGCTCTACAAGTGCACGGACTGTGCTTACAGCACCAAGAACCGGCAGAAGATCACCTGGCACAGCCGTATCCACACCGGGGAAAAGCCCTACCGCTGTCACCTCTGTCCCTATGCCTGCGCGGACCCCTCTCGCCTCAAGGTAAGGTCAGGGGCCGTGGGGTCCGGAAACGGAAGGAAGGCAGGCTGCCCAGTGAAAGCCACCTGGGTTCTCTAATCCTGACTCTTCCATGTATTAGCTCTGTGACTTGGGTCAAGTCCCTTAACTTCTCCAAGCCTCAGGTTGCTCATCTGTGAGAAAAGGTTATAATACTGCATAGGGTTGTTACAAAGGTAGAATTCCAGGACTTCCTGGTGGTCCAGTGGTTAAGACTCTGTGCTCCCAGCGCAGGGGGCGTGGATTCAATCCCTGGTCAGGGAACTAAGATCCCCCATGCCACGTAGCCAAAAAAGATAGAATTCCATAATATATGCTTGGCATGTGATAAAGGCATTGTAGATAATCTAGATAATAATAGCTAACATTTTTTGAGCACTTACACTGTATGTTGTGCATTAATTTTAATCCTTATGAAAATATGAAATATACTTTTACTGTTTCGCATTTTTAATAAACTGAGAATTAGGGGTTAGGTTGCCCAAAGACACAGCTAAATGAGTGGCACAGCTGAGATCAGGTATACCTGAGGTTGGCCAAATGGATCAGGGTGGTGTCCGAGTGACTGGCCTAGGGGACCTGATTGGCAGTTGGGGGTGGGGGTGGGATGGGTCAGCTTGGTGCAGGGAACAGGATTATCTGCCAGCAGTTTCTCTGCCTGCTTGCCCTATTTCCATGTCCAGTGAGTACCCATTAGGCACATGTTCTCTGGGTGCTCTCTGCTCTTCTCTCCTCCAGTACCATATGCGGATCCACAAGGAGGAACGGAAGTATCTGTGCCCTGACTGTGGCTACAAGTGCAAGTGGGTCAACCAGCTCAAGTACCACATGACCAAGCACACAGGTCAGTCTGCGTGGTTTCCACAGGCCCGAGGGGCTCCCCTGTGCCATGGCACACCCAGCCTCCCTGAGTGTGGTGTATGTCCTTATGCAGATTTGGGGTGCATATCAGTTTTCACATCAGGGGTAGTGGGTCAACTGAAAGGCCAGAATAACTTCCCAACCCACTGAAAGCCTATGAGAATCAGGAGAGGTGAACCTGGGGGTCTGGGCATGTGTGCTTTGCAAAACCTTCTCAGGGGATTGTGGCACAAGGTCACCCCTTTCCTGTTGAGAACCCCCAACTCGAGCATGAGGAACCAGATCTATCTGATTCCTATGGAGACAGGATGGAACTATTGTGAGTGAGGAGGCGAAAAGTAGAGGGCTTGCCTGTTTTAACTTGTCCTTTTTTCCCCTCCTGAGTAGAGTCCATGGACCACAGGTTCTCAGAACGGTTAATGATGGTGTGTCTTGATCACTGCATATGGCCCACCCTATAAGGGAATTAACCAGGTGCATTTCAAGACCTTCTGCCTCTCTGGATGGCACTACTTTTTACCTCTACGTCTTCCCTCTTAAATATTTTCTTTTACTTCCTGAGTTGAACAAGGAACTGTATTTAAATAGATTCCCAGTTCCATGAGTACTCTAGGACCAAAACGAGGTTGGAATTCTGCTTGTAGAAAACCTAGCATATTTGAGTCTTTATTGCTGTCAGATGGCTACTTAGGGGTCCAGTTAGTTACCAGCATCCATTGAGCACTCACTGTCTACAAGGGGTTCTGTGGAAGAAGGGCAGCACATCAGACAGGATTGGAGCATTCCAGAGACACAGTCCTTAGCTTGCTGGCTGTGTTCCTTATGTCCCAGGATCACAGTGGCACTTCTGGTCCACAAATCCGTGTTCCACCTCTTTCAGTGGCGACCTGTTCCCTGTCCTTCCCCCATCCCACAGGACTGAAGCCATACCAGTGTCCCGAGTGTGAGTACTGCACCAACCGGGCCGACGCGCTGCGCGTGCACCAGGAGACACGGCACCGGGAAGCTCGGGCCTTCATGTGTGAGCAGTGTGGCAAAGCCTTCAAGACGCGCTTCCTGCTGCGCACCCACCTGCGCAAACACAGTGAAGCCAAGCCATACGTGTGCAATGTGTGCCACCGGGCTTTCCGCTGGGCTGCCGGCCTGCGCCATCATGCCCTCACCCACACCGACCGCCACCCCTTCTTCTGCCGCCTCTGCAGCTACAAGGCCAAGCAGAAATTCCAGGTGGTCAAGCACGTGCGCAGGCACCACCCTGACCAGGCTGACCCCAACCAAGGCGTGGGCAAAGACCCCACCACCCCCACGGTGCACCTTCACGACGTGCAACTGGAGGACCCTGGCCCACCTGCTCCCGCTGCTCTGCCCACTGGACCGGAGGGCTGAATGCACCCCCCTCCCAGACACGAGGAGGGTGCGGACCCATGTGCAGACTGGACCTAAGGGCTGAGCCCCCACACCTCCCAGACATGAGGAGGGTGTGGACCCATGTGCAGACTGAACCCAGAGCCAGCCTTAGGAGCTCAGGGCTGTGGGAGGGGCTGGCTTCAGGGCATAAATGAGGCTGGAACTCTCTTGGGAACCCTCCTGGCCCGTAGTACTTGGAAGTTGATATAAAAGAGAGACCTGGACCACAAATTGATTTCTGTTGAGGCACACTGTGTTTTTGACCTGTGTGTTCCTAATTTCTTCACCATCGCCCCACCAAAGTCCTATAAGATCGTGGATTACCCATTTCATCTTCTCTTTCCTTCTTAACTGTGTCAAGTTCCTGTCTCCTCAGCATCCTCAAAACAGTTGTATCTAACCGCATGTGCCGTTGTGCCCACTGCTCCATAAAGCATGGTTAAATGATTCGTAGCTTATATAGACTCTTCCATGTCCCCGACTTTAATACTGCCAGGCTGTCTCTTAGTCCTGTTCCCTCTCAGGCCTCCGCCTCTCCTTTGTCTCCTTGCATCTCCGCTGAGTGATTGGTTCTGAAACAGGACCAGGTCTATCTTGTGTCTGTCCTAGAGCCTGAGTCAGCCCTTGTCCTGCTCCTTATTTCCAAGTCCCTTTGTCTTCTGGTAGATGGAGGATTGCTACCCACTCAGCCTTCTCGTGGAAGCAGCTTTAATTCAGCATCATCCTCAGACCAGCTCAGCTGCTGGCCTGGAGTTAAAGCACAGAATAGTGGAAGACAGACAGTTGGGGAGGTAAATCTCTCACCCAGAATTCTGTCGGTGCTTCACAGTGACTGTATCATGAATCATCTAAACTGGGACACACTGGGGAAATTAAAGAGAGTACTATTAATAATTATGCTGAGACACCAGACATAAAGCAAGACCATTCCAAGCCAGCTCTTTAGGAGGGCTGGGATCATGTAACTCTGTCTTCTCCTTTTACTCTGCCACTTAGAAGTCATACTTCTTACCCTTTCTGTGTAGTGAATGTTGGGGGGCCTGGGAAACCCTGTTTTCCCACTTTTTTCCTACCCCACCTGTCTTACCCAAATGTCCCCCACCCCTCATATCTCCTTGCCCAACAAAGAGACCACACTCATGCCAAATTGAGAGAGAAGCTCTATTTATACTGGTGGCACAAGTGAGCAGGAGTCCAGTGGGGAGACTCTGGGCCATGCAGTGTTCTCTTGAGAGTCGTAATACAGGGGAGCAGATCTCCTCCCCCAGCCTTTGCCTGGGGAGACTTGAGGCTCAATTTCTCTTTCCCTTGGCTCTGGACTTTGAGGAAGTTAGGGGTGAGAAGTTTGGGTTTGGAGTTTCTCTGCCCCCAAGCCCCTCTTTGGATTTCTAGCTGCAATCTGCCTTTGAGCCAGAGTTGGTGGGAAAGCGCTGTACTAGATCTGGGTGTGGTGTTGAGCCTATAACCAGAGGAAGGAAGGAATTCCAGTGTAGAGTCTGCAGAGGAAAAGGACAGGAATGATGCCCAGAGTCTTGTGAAAACGAAGAAAGGGAAGAGAAAGAAGGTGAAAAATCAGGCCCTACATTTGCTTGTCAGGAAGGACCAAGTCATTTTGTGCCTGAAAAGGCATAGTCCAAAGCTCGAGTTTGTACCACTGTTTGCTTTCTGGAGCATCCTTCCAGGTTTTTTCATTTTTCTCACCATCTACAGCCAGTGAATCCACTCCTCCTGTGGCCGCCTTAAGATTCAGCCTCCTCTAGCACTTCCTTTGTGCAGATGTGCACGAAGATGGAAGCTGGGTGAAGGCTGAGGCCGTCCTTGGAGAGCAGGTGTATGTGGCGGTAACCTGGGGGGTGGTTGGAGGGGTGGAGAGGACAGCATCAGGAAGACAGCCAGAGCTGGGGTGTGGGCCGGGAGAGGGAGGACCGACTCACCTTGTTGCATGCAGCTCCACGGCAGGGTGTACTGACCAATGAAGTCGTTTCGGGATTTCCAGTCATAGTCTTTCACCACAAAACGCAGCAGGGCCAGTTCAGGTACCAGGACCCGGAAGCACAGCGTCTGCCCCCAGTATGGATTAAAACCTAGCCACAGAGGGTGAGTGAGGGAAGGGACGAAAGAACAGACATTGCTGAGTGCTGGTGAGTTGCTTGCCCCGAGTTCCCTTGCTTCATTTTCAGAGTGGTCAGCACTTTACAGGTGAGGAAACCAAGCGGATAAGCAGTCTGCTTAGGTCACTGTAAGTGAACCACCTAGCTGCAGACCCGAGTCCTCATCCTTTGTCCTGTCTGCAGTGCTTCCCATGGAGGTGGCAGAAGGGGTGATGGACCGTGCTTAACAGAGACCTGGACAGTGGGAAAACCACAGCCAGACTCCTCCCACTTTCCCCAGCACTGCCCAGCATCTCACCATTGTTCTCCACGTAGCTGGTCTCTTGCCGGGTTGTGTCCGGGCGGACGCCAAAGATCTCCACTCTTACCAGGGGGTCCACAATGGACTGTTCTTTGGTGTTGTCCACTTTGGGGAGTTGCTGACCACTGATTACCTGCAACCAGGGCTCTGGAACCTCACTAGTTCCTGCTCAGCCCAGCCCCCCTCCAGCTCTCACACCCTGGGGGGAGGAGGAAGGCTGAGGGGAGGGGGAGACACAGGACCTTGCACTATACACTTATGGTTTGCAAAACTAATTCTCATGGGTAATAGATTTTCTTCTAGTACCTCACCTGCAATTTAAAATGCATCCAAGTAGAAATTTAGTAAGGTCTGAAAGTGGGAAAGTTATGACAGCAACCCTTCTATAGCACTTACTGTGCCCTAGGCACTGTTGTCAGCACTTCAGATTAACAGGGCTTCCCAGGTGGCTCAGTGGTCAAGAATCTGCCTGCCAGTGCAGATTCGGGTTCAGTCCCTGGGAAGATCCCCTGGAGTAGGAAATGGCAACCCATTCCAGTACTCTTGCCTGGGAAATTACATGGACAGAGGAGCCTCTTGGGCCACAGTCCATGGGGTCGCAAAGAGTCAGACAGGACTGAGCACACACACACACAGATTAATCTCAACAGTCCTGTACAGTAATATTACCCCAGTTTTGCAGGTGAGGAGAATAAGGTTAAGAAGTTTGCCAAACATTACATGACTAGTAAATGGGTTTGAACCTAGTTGATTGACTCCAAAGTCCACGCTGCCCCATGAGGAAATTTCCCTGTTACACTCCTGTCAGACCTAGCCGCCCCTGCCCCCCAGGCTCTATTTCAGCTATCCCAGTTTCTTCCCAGTGGCTTTTCTTTCCATTATACCTGGATTATGAGGGTCTGGGCTTTGAAAGGGCTGATGGGCCTCTCAGGGTGGAAGGAACTCTGGGCATCACGCAGGAAGTCTGGCTTCAACACATAGCCACAGCCAGCGTTCTGGCGGAAGAGCCCATCACACAGGTCCATCTCCAGCCCGGCTGTCTGCATGTTCATAGCCACTGAGGGCCCCAAGAGAAAAAAAGGGAAGAGTCACCTTGGGGGTCAGGCAGCCATCTTTCAGGGAAAGCGGACTGAGAGCTTATTGGGTGTAAAAGGGCTGCTGGCAACACTGGAGAACGTCTTTCTCAGCCCAGTGCTCCCCTTGAAGCACTCTCTGGCCCCACTGCCACCCAGGAACCGACTTCCTATCCATTGCCCTTGCACTCCCTCTTCAGTGTCCCTACCACTCCCTCACCCATCTGGCAGCCTGCATTCCAGAATTCCTGGGGGTTGTAGTTGGATGAATCCGTCCTCAGGCCACTGGGATATACTCTGCTTAACTGCCAGGTATTGTGCTGCACAAACTCATCGCCTGTAAAGAAGGTGTGGGTACCGAGATGGTAGTGAGTGGAGTGGACCCTCCTACTTCCTTAGTCCCAAGGGCCCCTGCCCACACACTTCACTCCTCTCTCCAGCATCTCCTAAGGCTGTGCCTGTCTCTGCTCCATGCAGACCATCTCCCCCAGCTGTCTTCCCCCTAGAGCCTTGAGTCCACTGTTCACCTCCTGTCCCCATACCTAGTCTGGGAGTTCCTTAACTTCCTCCCGCGTCCCTCTGCTCCCTCATCCTCCTGCCCATCAGACCTGACTTGACTCATCCCATTTCCATCCCCCCCTCTTGGTCCTGACCAGCTTCCTTGATAAGACTCTTGGCCTTGGTTTCAGAGAAAGATGATGTTTCATAGAAGTGGTAGTGCTCCCTCGAATGAGTGAAGCTGTAGAATGTGACAGCCTTCAAGTAGACAACCAGGGCAGAGAGGGCTGGACACAAGATGGCCTTGGGTTTCTGGAAAAGGAGAGAGAGGATGATAGAGTCGAGCCATTAGCAATCCAAGACGGAAGAAGCCAGGGGCCAAGATCTGAACTTTCCCACCCAACCTAAGGCTCTGCCCACTGCCTCCCTCCTGCCTCACCTGCTTGGGAAAGAGAAGAAGCCCAGGCCTGGAAATAGGAGCCTGGGCCATAATCTGACAACACAAAGGCCGACACAACAGCGGGCACATCACAACCTGAGGATGGGAATGGGAATAAAAGCAGTCTACGTATACTAAAGGGATCAGTTTCAGCCTCTGGGCTTGAAGGGTTACTGTGCAGGTAACATGTCTTTAATTTATTATTGCTAAACAGAGATGTCATCCTCAATACCTCTCATCTTTTAAAACAAATTAATTTTTTATCAAAATGTACATGAGTCCAGATACATCAAGGTATGCAAATGGTCATGGAACTCACACCTGGAAGAATGTCAGAGTCCCAGAGTAACATCTATAGATTTTTCTCCTGAATTCCCATTTCCATCCCTGGGCATGGCAGCAGGTAAGACAACACAGCTCCAGCGAGAACAGGATAATAAGCTAGAAGTCATTCAGCTGAGCCAGGCAAGTACACAAGAGAGAGAAATGCAGACTTCAAAACAAGATCTTGGTGGTCCCACCATTGGCACCCCTTCCCCAACCTTTCATGCTCCTCCTCTTTGGCTATTTCTGGTCCCTTTTCAGACTCACCTTTGCCAAGAAACTTTCTATCAATAAACCCACTTTAGTTGAGGTCACAGCAGTCACTCTACTAAGCCCTACTTACCTAATATGACAACACATATATCAGTAGTTTTTGAAGTATCACTTAAAAAGACTGGGAAGTAGTACAAAGATGTCTCAGAAGTCACCTGGGAGACCCAGGAGAGAGCCAAAGAGGTGCTTCAACCAGAATCACTCTGCATATATCTATTTTGTGTACTGAGCTTCCATATAAAATTTCATTAAAAAAAAGATCTCACAGCACAAAGAAGTTGGAAAGCCACTGCCATATGTCTGTATATGGCAATCTATATGGTGATGCTGTGTATGGATTCTCAGGCCTCTTGTCATTGGAGGCAAGGAGCATTTTGCTCCTTGGTTCTCCACCCTGCCTGGCTCCAGTTTCTTCACACATGGGGTCTCAGCTTGTAGTACTGACTGATCAAAGGCCAGAGCAGAAAGACCACCTTCCTGGCCTACCTTCTTTTTGTCCTCACCGCGAGGGCTCAGCTCCTGGGGCTCAGACTCCAGCTGGGCCTCCAAGTCCAGCTCAGCCTCCTGCCCTGCCTCCAGGTCAGCCTCTGGCTCTTCCTCCTCTTCCTCAGCCGTTAGCTTCTTCCCCTTCACAAGGATCTTCCTCCGAAGGTCCTAGGGGACAAAAACAGAGGGGCCTGTCTGCCTCTCTGCTCCGGGCCCCTCCTGGGGGTCCTGCAGCTCCTATGCAGCTCTCACAGGACCACCTCAAAGGCAAAGGAAGCAAATGATCGGAAGTTCCCACAGGAAGGCTACTTGATACACAGAGCAGGGATTTCTTATGGTTAAGCCAACCTGCGACATCTCTAAGGAAAAAAATACATGCGAACCCCTACCTCACATTTGACACATAAAGATTCCTCGTAGATTCAAGATTTATATGTAAAGAACGTTACAGTATTAGAGGAAGATAGAGAATCTTTCTGAATAGCCTCAAGGTAGGAATACCTTTGAAAACTCAGAAGACATAAAAAATGATTGGCAGAGGTGACTACATAAAGCTTAAAAACCTCTGTAAAGCAGAAGAGGCTATGAAGACAAAAAGAAAAAATAGACAAGGGGAGTTTCCTGGCAGTCCAGTGGTTAGGACTCCACATGGCTGTGTCCTGGTTTCAGTCCTTGGTTAGGAACTGGGTCATGCAAGTTGCAGTGTGGCCACTCCCCACCCCAAAAGACTGCAAAAAAGTATTTTTAAAGCATTAATATCTTAAACATTTTTTAAAGTTATATATCAATAAAAATTATAAACTCAAATATAAAAAGTTTGTAAATATCAGTTAATTTGAAAGAATAAAACAGACCTTTGTTTTTTAAAAACTTGACTTTTTTCATGTTTGCCATTATGAATCATCTCACTACTGGAGTTATTTGTAGTCATTCTCTTACACTGTTCAGTTGGAGTGAAATTTGGTTTTTTTTCTGCCCCTCCGAGGGCAACTTGACAATAATAACCAAAAATGTCAACATGCAGTTCTCAACCCAGCAATTTTGTTTCTAGGAATCCATTTCAAAGAAAGAGTAAATGAGCAAAGCTCTATGTACAAATGAAAAATTATAAACAACTTAAATGTTTACCATTTACTGGTTATTTTTACCACCTACTGGTCGAGTAAATTATGGTCAGTAACATAAAATACAATACTATAGAGCTGTTAAAAAAGAAAATATACATGAAAAGATATTTGTAATATATATAAAAGGAATAGGAAGGATGATCCCATTCACATTTTTTTTAATGTGACTATATATACATATATATGTCTATATAATTGTGTAAAAAATCAATAATGTTGGCAGCTGTTCTTGGAGAGGTTGAGATTATGGTGGGGGAATCTCCCTTTATCTTTGTAGAGCCTATAATTATGAACTATCAGGGGAAAAAAATGAAGATCTTCCATTGAAAAAAGAAATATAAAGTAAATAAATGGTTTTAAATTTAGAAAGCTATATCTAGAATTTTATGTTGAATTAGATTTTTTTTCTTTTGGCCATGCCACTCGGCTTGCAGAACCTCAGTTCCCGGAGCAGGGATTGGCAGTGAAAGCTTGGAATCATAACCGCTAGGTCACATGGGAGCACCCTGAATTTGATTTTTTTAAAAATTAAAGTTGTCTCCAAGAATATTAAAGAGCAAGATGGTCCATCTGAGGGTGAGAAGAAGGGAACAGGTGGGCCTGGAAGAAAGAGCCAAGGCCGGTAGGGAAGCCTGGGCTGGAAGGGCAGGGTCCCTACCTCAGGGGAGGGCAGCTGAGTGAGAAGCTGCCCATCCAAGGCTGTTGTCAGTAGCTGATCCCCCAGGATCTCCGTCAGATGGTGCACTATGATCTCCTGCTGCTCCCGGCTGCAGTGGTTCTCCAGCGACAAGATGACTGGATAGTCTGACGTCTGGTCAGGAGGGGAAGGCACGCTGGAGCCAGAGTTCTGAGGCCTATAACCTTCTTGCCTCTCCAGCTCCACCTCCACCCACCACCCCACCACCCCACCCACTGCCAATTACTCAACTGAGTACCCTGATTGCCAAAAGTCCTCTGACCCCATGCCAGGCCTCCCGGAGATCTGCCTGGGTCTAGGCACCCCACATCTAAAAGTCACTCTTGGGACCCCAAATCTCAGATCTGTGCCAGGTCTGACCCAGGTCCTTCTGGGACCTTTGAGTTTTCAGGCTTAGAGTGGGAAAGCAAGGCCAGCGCCCCAGTCATGTTCACGTTACACTTTCAGACTTTCGTCCCCAGATAACTATTGTCTCCCAGCTCTACCCACCAGTTTGTTTCCTCCTCCGCCCTCTCCCAGGTGGGTGACAGAAGTTTTTAGAAGTAATCATTACCAGTTAGCAATTACTTCCATGACTACTACTTAACTAGTAACACATTAAACACTTATTATTATATAATAATCCCTTGATGTTTGCCTGATGCTTCACAATTAAAATCTCTTTTATGTATACATTTGACATCACCTAGGTCGGGAAGATCCCCTGGCAAAGGGAATGGATACCCACTCCAGTGTTCTTGCCTGGAGAATTCCATGGATAGAGGAGCCTGGTGGGCCACAGTCCATGGGGTCACAAAGAGATGGACACGACTGAGCAACTAATACTTTTACTTTCCCCTGCATCCCTCCCCAACCCCAGACCCAGAGTCTCTTCCTTCAGATCCTCTCGCCAATCACCAGTATTTCCATCCCAAGGCTCCCACCTGGAAGGCATACTGTCCTATAGCGGCCACAACATCTTTGAATGGGATGCGGGAGGTCAGGGTGTGTCCGTGGTAAACAATAGGTTCCCCGCTTGGTCCATCCCATATATCCACCTCCACACAGCGGCACCCCCGCTTCAGGGCCCTGCAAGAACCCCACCCCCCAGGGACGGGAGGGGTCAAGGTGTGATCTTCCACCTAAGGGCCCTCTTCCCTCTCTGGAGAAAACAGTGCTCACCGGCACTCACCCGAGACACCCATCAAGACCTGTCAATTTACATCTCCATGGACCCCTCTTTGTCTGCTGGGATACACCTGCAGCTCACACTGATCTCCACCCCGCCCTACTCAACAATCCTCCCTTAGGGAGCCATCACATACTGCCTTCTGTTGTTCTGCTTGTGTATCTTTATATGACACCTGAGTTATTCAGACTCTCAGTAAATTTACATTTTACTTCCTTACTAGGCTTTCTAGGGAAGTTGCACTTGAAGCAACTAGTTCACCTGGTGGCATTACAAAGCTGTCTTGACTATTTGATCTAATGCACAGTTAATCACAATAAAAGCAGGTACCATTTATTACCTACTGACACATAAATTACCTTATTGAGTCCTCACAACAAGCCAGACAAAATAGAATAGTAATCATCTCCGTGTCTCAGATAGGGAAGCTGAGGCAGAGAGAGGTTAAGTATTTGACCTCAGAGTACCAGGTGAGGAAGCTAGTAGTTGATCTCAAATGGTCTGACTCCAGAACCTATGTTTTTAAATCCTCTCCACTACTGCCTCCCATTTAACACTGAGTTTATTTATTTGTTCAAAATAAATCTGTCAGGACCTCTGGTGCCAAGGGAATTTCATGTCCTATGAAAGAGAAGCTCTGTTTACCCACAGGGTTTCCATAGCAGTCTCCTGCCAGTCTTCAATATCTCCTTCAAGCCTCTCAGGGACCCAGGAATCCTCAGCTCAAATCCCCCCACAACAGTGTTTCAATTCCTGCAGTCCACTAACAATTCCCCTCCAACTTCCCACAGACCTTCCCATCTCATGAGCTGGACCCCTTCACCCCCCAGCCCACAGCACCGTATGTATCCCTCCACGCTGCTCTGGCCACAAAGCTGGTCCCCCACCAGGTAGGTGTTGTGGGAGGAGTTGATGTAGTACTGGTTCAGGGGTTGAGTCATGTCCTGGTAAAGGGGGTAGCAGGTCGGATTGAAGATGTCTCCGTCCTTCGAGCAGAGGTAGCCCAGGAAGCCGTCCATGCTCAGCACATGCCGCAGTTTGCCTGGGGTGTGGAGTGGCTAGAGTGAGAAGCTCACGGCGGCAGTGCTCAGAGCACCCCACCCCTCTCCAGGGCCTGGCCTTTCAGATGGTGTCCACTCCCAGCCTCCAGACCCAAAAATTGCCCTATCCAGCTTGTCATTTCAAGCATCCCCATCCTCAGAGAAGATGCAAAGGGAATCATTAAGATCATGCTAGTCCAGGGCCGCCCAACAGAACTTTCTATAGTGATGGAAGTGTTCTCTGGTCTGGACAGCCCAGTACGATAGCCTTTAACTAAATAAAGCTATTGAGAATTTTAAATGTTGCTGTGTGACTGCGGAACTGAATTACAGTTTTGTATTCACAGGAGATTGGCTCCAGGACTTCCCCTTTCCCCACAGCAGATACCAAAATCCATGGACGCTCAAGTGCCTTACACAGAATGGCATGGTACAGTCGACCCTCTGTATCCGCGAGGTGGCACCTGTGGATACAGAGAGCCAACTATAATTTAAATTTAAATAGCCACATGGAGCTCAGGGTTACCATGAAGGACAGCACAGTATTTAGTCCAAAGGAGTAACTTCACAGATGGGGCAACCGAGGCTCAGAGAGGATCAAAGTCAAAGACTTGTTAGTGACAAGACCAAGGTGCATGCATGTATGCCAAGTCACTTCACGACTGAAGACTCTTTGTGACCCTATGGGCTGTAGCCTGCCAGACTCCTCTGTCCTTGGGATTTTCCAGGCAAGAATACTGGAGAGGGTTGCCATGCCCTCCTCCAGGAGATCTTCCCTGGGGAAGATCGAACCTACATCTCTTACATTTCCTATATTGGCACAGGGGTTCTTCACCACTAGCGCCATGTGGGAAGCCCCAAGACCAAGGTACCTGTGTGTTATGCCCTGGGCTGTGTAGCTACTGCCTACCATGGCCTGAGGGTTTCTTGAGCATTGCTCTGTGCCAAGGACATAACATGAAGCATCTCCCTCAATGCTCTCACCAACACAATCAGGTGGATATAACATTATCTGCCCTGTGAGGTTAGGTAACATACCCAGGGTCACATCTGTGGTTGTTGTTCAGTCGCTCAGTTGTGTCTGACTCTTTGCAGCCCTGAAGCATGCCAGGCTTCCCTGTCCTTCACTGTCTGCCAGAGTTTGCTCAAACTCATGTCCATTGAGTCAGTGATACCATCCAACCATCTCATCATCTGTTGTCCCCTTCTCCCCCTGCCTTTAATCTTTCCCAGCATCAGGGTCTTTTCTAATGAGTTGGCTCTTCATATCAGGTGGTCAAAGTATTGAAACTTCAGCATCAGTCCTTTCAGTAAATATTCAGGGTTGATTTCTTTTAGGATTGACTGGTTAGATCTTCTTGCTGTCCAAGGGACTCTCAAGAGGCTTCTCCAGCACTACAACTTGAAAGCATCAATTTCAAGGCGTTCGGCCTTCTTTATTGTCCAACTCTCACAGTCGTACATGACTACTGGAAAAACCATAGGTTTGACTATACGGACCTTTGTCAGCAAAGTGATGTCTCTGCTCTTTAATTTGCTGTCTAGGTTTGTCACAGCTTTCCTTTCAAGGAGCAAGAGTCTGTTAATTTCATAGCTGCAGTCACTGTCAGGTGGCGCCAGTGGTAAAGATCCTGCCTGCCAATGTAGATGACATAAGAGGCCCTGGTTTGATCCCTGGGTCAAGATGATCCACTGGAGAAAGAAATGGCAACCCATTCCAGTATTCTTACCTGGAGAGTTCCATGCACAGAGGAGCCTGGCAGGCTACAGTCTACAGGGTTGCACAGAATCATCATGACCGAAGTGACTTAACACGCACACAGTCACTGTCTGCAGTGATTTTGGAGCCCAACAAAATAAAATTTGTCATTGTTTTCACTTTCTCCCCTCTATTTGCACAAAGTGTTGGGACCGGATGCCTTGATCTTCATTTTTTGAATGTTGAGTTTTAAGCCAGCTTTTTCACTCTCCTCTTTCACCCTCATCAAGAGGCTATTTAGTTTCTCTTCACTCTCTGCCGTTAGAGTGGTATCATTTGCATATTTAAAGTTGCTAATATTTTTCCTGGCAATCTTGATTCCAGCTTGTGATTCATCCAGCCTCGCATTTCACATAAGATACTCTGCATGTAAGTTAAATAAGCAGGATGACAACATACAGCCTTGACATACTCCTTTCCCAATTCTGAAGCAGTCGCTTGTTCCATGTACAGTTCTAACTACTGCTCCTTGTCCTGCATACAGGTTTCTTAGGAGACAAGTAAGGTGGTCTGGTATTCCCATCTCTTGAAGAATTTTCCACAGTTTATTGTGATCCATACAGTCAAAGACTTTGGCATAATCAATGAAGCAGAAGTAGATGTTTTTCTGGAATTCCCTTACTGCTTTCTCCATGATCCAATGAATGTTGGCAATTTGATCTCTGGTTCCTCCGCCTTTTTTAAACCCAGCTTGTATATCTGGAAGTTCTCAGTTCGTATACTACTGAACCTTAGTTTCAAGGATTTTGAGCATTAAAAACTTGCTAACATGTGAAATGAGTACAATTGTGTGGTAGTTTGAACATTCTTTTGCATTGCCCTTCTTTGGGATTGGAATGAAAACTGACCTTTTCCAGTCCTATGGCCACTGCTGAGTTTCCCAAATTTGCTGATATATTGAGTGCAGCACTTTAACAGCATCATCTTTTGGGATTTTAAATAGCTCAGCTGGAATTCCATCATCTCCACTATCTTTGTTCATAGTAATGCTTCCTAAGGTCCACTTTACTTCACTCTCCAGAATGTCTTGCTCTAAGTGAGTGACCACACCATCGTGGTTATTGAGATCATTAAGACCTTTTGTACAGTTCTTGTGTGTATTCTTGCCACCTCTTCTAAATCTCCTCTGCTTCTGTTAGGTCTTCACGGTTTCTGTCCTTTATTGTGCCCATTCTTGCATGAAATATTCCCTTGATATCTCCAATTTTCTTAAAGAGATCTCTAGTCTTTCTCATTCTGTTGTTTTTCTCTACTTCTTTGTATTGTTCTCTTAAAAAGGTTTCCATATTTCTTCTTGCTATTATCTGAAACTTTGCATTCAGTTGGGTATCTTTCCTTTTATCCCTTACCTTTTGCTTCTCTTCTTTTCTCAGCTATTTGTAAAGCCTCCTCAGACAACAACTTTGCCTTCTTGCACTTCTTTTTCTTTGGGATGGTTTTGGTCACCACTTCCTGTATAATATTATGTCACATAACTAATAACTAATAAGTGAAGGAGCTGGGATTTGAACCCAAAGAGTCAGATGTCAGAGTCTGCCTTACACTGCTGGACTGTGAAGTGTCTCACTGAGGATAACTTTGCTACTGGGGAGACAGCTTGACTCTCATGCCTAGCTTCCTCACTCCAGGTGTGACAAGGCCTGGCGATGGTGGAAAATGGCAAGAAGTTGGGCACGAAGTTTCATTCTTTCTATATTTTGGCCATGACTTGAGGCATGCAGGATCCTAGTTCCCCGATCAGGGATCAAATCCATGCCCCCTGCAGTGGAAGCTCAAAGTCTTAACCACTGGACTGCCAGAGAAATCCCACATAGTTTCATTCTTGACTGTAATGACTCAAATTGCAAATTACTAAAGTCTATAGCTACCAGGTACTTTTCATGTGCTTTATTTCATTTGATCACCAGTTAGTTTACAAATGAGAAAACTGAGCCTCCGATAGGTTAAGTGACTCAGTACTCCGTAAGAAGCAGAGTGGGGACTTGAGCCCCTGTCTCTTGACTGATACCACACTTCGCAGCCATAGTGTTGTTGTATCTGATAGTCAAGTGAAAAGGAAAGGAACTCCAAAAAGGGTGGATAGAATAAATGTGGGGCTTCCCAGGTGGCTCAGTGGTAAAGAAGCTGCCTGTCAGTGCAGGAAATGCAAGAGACAAGGATTCAATCCCTGGGTTGGGAGGGTCCCCTGGAGTAGGAAATGATAACCTACTCCAGTATTCTTGCCTGGAAAATTCCATGGACAAAGGAGCCTGGTGGGCTACAGTCCATGGGCCACAAAGAATTGGACACAACTGAGTGACTGAGCATGCACACAGGCAGAATAAATGTAATGATGTATGCTGAATTCTGCATTGGGAATAGAGAATCCTGTCTTAACCCTTCAACTTCCTCTTCTGTTTAGTTTTCTGAAAAGATTGTTTCACAGCCCCTTTCTTCTCTGAGCACCCACATAAATCTGGAATCAGTGATTCCAACACTTTGTTTGGCTCCACGGTCCATGAGAGTAGTGTCCTTGTCTGATGTACTACTGTGTCTCTGTTGCCTACCACTGGTCCTGGCACATTACAGGCACTCAGTGAGCATTTGCTGAAGTAGTGAGTGAATGAATGAATGAATGAATGAAAGGGAATGAGAGTTGAGACCTAAGAAACCTGGGTCACCTGTCCAGCTCACATTCCTCTCACCTCTTATCCTCATTCTCAAGAGAGGCACCAGGTAAGAGTCAATGATCTGGCTTTGAATTGCAATTCCTCCTTTCATTAGCTGTTGACTTTGAGCAAGTCACTTAATTTTTCTAAATCTCAGTTTTCCTCTTCTGTACAACTGAGTTGATAATGAAATCCACTTCCATGGGTTGTTGGAAGAATTAGAAGAGAAAAGGCATGTAGAGATATCATCAGAACATTATGGGATGCTTAGGAAAGGCCCAATAAAGATTATTGCTTTTGATTTACAAGGATGTAGTGAGTACTAAGGGCTTCCCTGGTGGCTCAGATGGTAAAGAATCTGCCTGCAGTGCAGGAGACCTGGGGTTCGATCCCTGAGTCAGGAAGATGCCCTGGAGAAGGGAATGGCTACCCACTCCTGTATTCTTGCCTGGGAAATCCCATGGACAGAGGAGCATGGTGGGCTATAGTCCATGGGTTTGCAAAGAGTCGGACACAACTGAGCGACTGAACTGAGCTGAACTGAACTGTGATTCTCCAGGCCAGAATACTGGAGGGGGTAGCCTTTCCCGTCTCCAGGGGATCTTCCCGACCCAGGGATCGAACCTAGGTCTCCCGCATTGCAGGTGGATTCTTTACCAGCTGAGCCACAGGGAAGCCCAAGAATATTGGACTGGATATCCTATCCTTTCTCCAGTGGATCTTCCCAACCCAGGAATCAAACTGGGGTCTCCTGCATTGCAGGTGGATTCTTTACCAACCGAGCTATCAGGGAAGCACTCTTTTATTAATAATGTAAGTTTTTCATGCTCTGCAGGGAATGAAGGGCAGGAAGGTGCCTACTAAAGGGGCAAGGAGAAGGTTTGAGGGCAGAGAGGACATATTTTAACTGCTTGTTAAGAGCTAAATGATTGTCTACCTCATCATCCCCCTCAGCCAGGGACACACTAGTTGACCAGCTCAGGGACTTAGGACTCAAAAACCACCTGGGAAACTTGGAGAAAGTCCAGGAAAGGGCAGAGAGCCAGCACTTAAAGAGACAGCCAACAGGAACCATGAAGGGAACTAAAGGGAAAGGAATCATATGCACTAGAGAAGAAGCCAAAAGTAAGAGGAGTAGGATTTTATGTTTCCATTGAGGACAAAAGTTGATATCAGGAAGAAGAGTTTGAAAGTGAAGGATGAGAAATATGAGCATGGTAGAGGAAAGGGGACTTATGGAATGTTCTTCCTCCTAAGAGATAAAGCACTACAGAGGAGACTCCTGTCTTATGTGGGCAGAAAATGCTTTCTCCTTCTGGAGGAGTGATTGAATGAGATGAAGATGATTGGGAAGGGGGTCTGGGTAGGACTGAATTTTCCCTTAGTTAGGCAGAAGGTTAGTTGTCTCTTGGTCCCCCTATCTGGCCCCCATGTGTGGTGCCTCACCACCCTAGTCCTCTTACCACTTTCTGAAGGCTCATAGCGGTCGATGAGTTCCAGAGCAAGGTCAGAAGCCTGTTCTCCTTCCTTCTGCTCCTCTTGGAGGAAATCCACAAATTCCAGCAGGGTCAGTTTCTGCCCATCAGATGAAAACTTTTCAAACAGTTCCTGCACCTCTGGACGCTGAGTCAATGACTTATAGAACTCTACAAATTCTTCTCCCTCCAGAGTCCCAGACTGGGATGTGTCTGCTGTCTGCAGAAGAGGGTTTAGAAGAGAGTAAAAAACCCTTTAACAGCGATGTTGTGGTTTTGACTTTCCCTGTAAGGGCGATACTATTGATGGAGCCAGGCAGGCTTCCACAGAACTCCTGACATTTAGTTTTCATAGGAGAAGCCACTACAGGAAGTAAAAAGCAAAATTTTGGCCATACCATTTGCTACTGGAGAAAAATTTCAACTAGAAAGAATTAAATGCCCCCAACATGTCCCTAAAAGATCAGAAGATCCCTTTTTCTATTTACTCACATGCTAGTTGGAGTTTTCCACTGTACTAGGCACTTGTGAAATCCTGGCCAAGGACAGAGAGGTCCCTGAGGTCTGATGTAATAACATGTTGTTATTTACCTTTCATAAGATTATGAGTCATCTTTCCAACAAGACTGAAGGGTAAGAACCATGTCCTACCCACACTTCCCAATGAACCTGGCATAGCAGGAGAGATTCAACAGCTGTGTGTTGATGGAGAGGGTTGGAGGACTTCTGGCTAAGGGAGAATGTGGCCTTGGTTGGCTTCTGCTAGCCTTTCCCCAGAAGACTCACCTGGAAAAGCTGAAAGGCATATTCTTGGTCCATTTCCACATTCATCAGGTGCAATAACCGTTGGACCTCTCCGAAACTCATCCGACCATCCTGGTTTTTGTCTCCACGCTGGAACCAATCACTCAGCCATCCAGGTCTGAGTCAAGGCAAAAGCACTGAGTATGTTTGTATGTGCAGATGTGTGTGCACATTCATCCGTTGACATCTGCTCCCCTGTCTTTGTTGCCAGTCCCCTCCCCAAAGCCAATTCATTTTCCACATTAGCTTCTGGAATAATCTCCCCAGAGCACCAATCTATCTTGCCCCTGCATGGCTCAGGTGCCTTTGGGGACTTCCCTGTTGCCTGCAGAAAGAAGCCCAACTTCTTTAACATAGAAATTAAGATCTCCTACACCCCAGTGATCTGGCCCCAAACCAGCCTTCTCAACACAGAAATGACTACCTTGTACCTCAGACAGACTCAGCAAGCCCCTGCTCACTGATGTCCCAGCTCTTCAGCTTCCTACCTCTGGGCCTTTATTCATGATGTTTCCTCAGACATGAGTGCCTTCCCCTCCTCTTCCCTTCAGTTCAAATTCTACTCATTTTCAAGGCTCAGCTCAAATGCTGCTTCCTCCCGAAGCTTTCTCATGACCATCTCAGCTAGAAATAAGTATTTCTCCTTCCTTTGAACACGCACATATCAGCTAAGTACTGTAATGCTGGTAAATTAAATTATTTACACAATTCTGTTTTCTCTGCTGACTAAAACAATATCTGAGTCTCATTAATCTTTGTATCTCTAAAGCCTGGCATAGTGCCTCTTACATTCTGCTTAATAGATGGTGAATAAATGAATGGACCAGCATAGAAGGTGAATACAGTCTAGGAAACTTGAAGTGAGTTGATCCCATTAAGCCCTCTCAGGAGTTGCTCCCCATCCCTGTGGGAGTTAATGCCACTTTGATCTTCTGTTCAGCTCTCAGGATCAGCACCTAGTTTGCCTCTCATGGTCCCTTTACCCAATCCTGGGGGCCCTGATTCCTGTCCAAACTCTGTGTGACTCTGCCTATGCCATCACAGGCCTCCATTCTTCCCTCAGTATTTCAGCCTCACATCTGCCCAAGCTGTCCCTGGCCGCCCCATGTGGACGCTCGGGCCCCTCTAGCCCTGGGCCCCCTCCTACTTGTCCCTAGCCCTTCAGCATCTGGCTCCTTCAGTGACCCCTGGATTCCACTCTGACTCCATCCTGCTGATACTGGTCCAGCCTCTCCTGTTGGTCCATGTTGGTGACAAAGCTCACCAACAGCTGGAGCCCCTGCATCCAGGTCTGGGCTTCCTGGACACTGTTGGCCACCAGGTCCAGGTTGGAGCGGCGGCCATGGAAGACGATGGTGAAGCCCTGCTCCAGGGGGAACTCCTCTGCCAGGTTGCGCAGCAACTCAGACTCGTGGCCCTCACGTACTGTGTCCACATCGGAGATTGAGACTGCCGGGGAAGAAGTGAGTGGGGGGCCTTGAGCAAAGGGTCCGTCAAATCACAGCAGCTGAAAGCCAAGGACCAGTACTCCCCCTCCTTCTCTCTGAAACCACAGGAGGAGGGACCCCAGCGTCCACAGACTAAAATCCCCAGAGCCTTAGTACAGGGAGATGCAGATTCTTGGAATTCAGATTGCCACATGAGTCGTTTTCATAGCAGCATGACAAGGGGCCTGTGCTGGGAATGGCAAGACCTGGCTTCCAGTCACCAACTGGCAGTGTGACAGGGATGAAAAAGACGTAGTCCCTTAGTGTCCTAATCTTAAATAAGGGATGGTCCCTTCCATAGCCAATCCACATGGTGACCAATTACAGGAGGACTGGCGGGGCTGACAAGTGGAAGCACACTTGCAGGATAGAAGTTACAACAAAGCATGGTGCACCCAAATTCAGTTCTCTCTTTCTAGGTTTGAGGGCTTCCTCTTTCCAGATGTCTGGAAGGGAGCCAGAGAAATCCTTCCCCCCACTTCTTCAGCTGGGGCTGGTATAGATCATAAGCTTTGGTTATGTCTCTAAAGTCGATTATCTTAAGTGAGTCCTGTGATCACATTTTTAGAGGGATCACAAAGTGGCCAATAGGAGGCACACTGTTATGACACATTTACGATATTTAGAAATATTCACTATAATGGTTAACACATTAAATTCATCCGGGTTTCAGGCCTCATGCTAGGTGGTTTATATACATTAACTTCTTGAGCTCCTGTAATATACTAGGCTGTTTAATCTTCATTTTATAGATGAGGAAACTTATATTAGCTTAAGTTAAATAACTTGTCCAAAGCCACTCAGCTAGAAATTGGCAGAGCCAGGACTTTAATCCAGATAGTTGGCTACCCGAGATCATGCTATAATAATGATGATGATGATGATAGTAATAAGATAAAACCTATGATTTATTGAGCCTTATTATTATGTGGCAAAGACTCTTTGAAGATCTTTGCATGCCATAACCAATTTGATCCTTGTAACACCCTGAAGAGGCTAGTACAGTTATAATTTCCATTTTAGAGGCTCAGATAAAGACACTAAAGAGACCAGAGCAGGGCACGTCATAAGACACTGGTCCCTCCTTTGCCTTCAAGCTGCTGGGCCTGAAGGGTCCTCTCCACCCACATGCCCACCCTGGCTATCCACATCACTCACAGCTGGGCTTGGCCCTGCCTCCGGCCTGCCGGGCATGCCAGACTGTCATGCCATCGTCCTGAAGTCTGAAGAATCTTAGCTTCTTCCAGCTTTTGGACCTCACCTTGCGCATTAGTGTGCCTTTCTGCATCAGCAGCAGATCTTGATTGATGGGCAGCCCTGAGCCAGGAGAAGCAGGGACTGAGTAGCTGGTGGGGAAGGTGGAGGGCCCAGGAGGAGCTCTGGAACAGGAGTCCAGCCTCCTCCCTGTCTCTCGGATGTCTCCCCAAGCCCTCTTCTGCAGGGGTACTCACGGCCTTGCAGCAGATACGCCATCACCCACTGCTTCACCAGCTGATGCTAGAGTCACAGAAGGAGCGAGGAGCAGCAAGAGGTTTCAGGTTAATCTTGAGGTCTTAGAGTAATAGATCAAGGGAGAAAGAAGGAAATTAGTGTTCCTTGACTGCCTGTGGTGTGTCAGCTACTTCATCTACATAATTTGTAGCTCTTTTCAACTTCTAATTTGAGTTTAGGGATTGAGGCTTAGAGAGGCTAAGAAACTTGTCTCAATCACACAGGGACTCAGAATTTAAATCCAAATATATCTGATTTCAAACTTTCTGCAGTTTCCCACAGCCATCTCCGACAGGGTCAACCCAGGGGTTTCTGCCAAACACCCTCTTCTTTCCCAACACCCTACAATCCACGAGGTCACGTTTACCACACCTCTCTCAGTTCCCCATTATTAGGAATCACCGACTTGCTGGCTGCCCCCTTTCAGAACTGGGAATCTCTCTGCATCCTAGCCTTCCCTTCTCCAAGCGGAAGCATCTCAGCTTCCCTTCCAGGAGCCCTCTCCACGCTCTGGTATGGATCCTCCAGCTCTGGACAGGCTAGGCCAGGGTATTTCTTTTGTCTCTTCTACCACACTTGGTGCTGCACCTCGCTAAATAAGCCACTTCTACCTTCACATGATAAAGTATAGCTCATACACTTATTCATAATAGTAGTTCTCACAGTTTTAATGGACCAGATAAGTTACAGTCTCAGAACTGCATGTTCAAGTTTTCTCTACCTACTGAAAGAGAGTTCCTACCGTTAAATATGTGCTCATTTAGGACTGGTTAAGTTATCCTAAGAGCTAACAACAAACTTGCCTTGAAAATAACTAGAAGATTTGATTTGTGGCCACTTTGATCCTAGCTTTGCGCCTAGAAGAAATGTAACTCAGTGCTTAAACCAAATCATGCTGAAACTGGTGAAGTCCATGGAACATAAAGCTTTATGCTTTTGTTTAAGCAAAGGATCTAAGCTTGAATCAGAGAAATGTTGTGGGTTTTAATTAGTAAGTTTAAACTTAAAAAAAAAGTCTTTCTGGCTGCCCTTTGCAACATGTGGAATCTTAATTCCCCAGTCAGGGATGGAACCTGTGCCCCCTGCAGTGAAAGTGTGAAGTCTTAACCCCTAGACTGCCAGGGGCGTCCCTAAATAAGTTTAACAATTTGTCAGTGGTGAACATCTTAAAAAAAAGAAAACAACAAAAAAAAAACAATGGAAAGAATCCTTAAACTATTCAGTTAGTCCTCCATTTAAACATCATGTAGTTTAACTCCCTACATTTTACAAATGAAAAGCACAAGTCCAGAAACATGATGTGACTTGTCTAAGGTCACACAGCATATTAGTGTCCCATCTTTAAGTAGGGAGAGCCTGTAAAGCCACCCAGGGTGACGGTCTTCAGAAATGACGTAGAGGTCACTGAAATTACAGCTCTCCTGACTTAAGGACCTAGAAAAGACTTTCCAAAGGAGTGGGAATGTGCAGGAAACCAATCTGAGTCTAAGCAGAAGAGATAAGGCAACTCTCAGGAGAGCAAGAACACAGCTTCAGTCCCAAGAGGGAAAGGTTTATTGGCTGAGGCTGAATGTAGAAGCCTGAATGAGACCAGAGGAGACCTCTGGATGGAAGAAGGAAGGAAAGAAGACAGGAAACCATCTCTACTTTGCTGGGTGGTGTTGCACAGTTTGGAATCCAAGGTTTGCAAAAGTTCTATGAAGACTAAAAAGTAACAGATCTCCACTAAATGTCTTAGAGTTTCAGACTCTAAGAGGGGTTGGGGTCAACCTGGGGCTGAAGTCTAATCCCCTTTGCCAACATTCTGCCTCCTCTCTCCTCTGAACTTCTGGGATGGGTGGGCTTTGGCCCTGGGAGAAGACAGAATTACCTTCCCTTATGGCTGTGTCTGGGAGCCTCACCACGATGTCCTGAGACATGGGAGGTCTGAGAACAGTCCCAAGCACAGGGACACCCCTGCCTCGTCTCAAACCAGACTTAGAAAATGATTTTATACTCTTTTGTCAAACTCTTTCAACCTCACAGCTTGGCGTGCTCTGCTCCCATTCCTGAGTCACTGTTTTAAAACTGTATCTAGGTTACACGTGGCCGAGAGAGGGCTAGGTTCAACTCAGGGAGCCACAGGATGTCAGAGCTGGACTTCATTTTGTAGAAAGGGGACAGAGGAGCTCTTTTCTCTGCCATCCTACATGTGATTGAGTTTGCGCCTCACCATGTCTTCTTACAGGACTTTCAGGATCAGGCGACTCCTGACCACAAAAATAAGCAGAATCATCCCATTCCTCAATAGATTCCAATGAAAACAGGTAATCAGATACAACTCCAAGAGAAGACACTGGAGAAGAACCACGCTGGCTGTGTCAGAAGCCTCACATATGAAGTGGCACACGTTTATCCTGTGTTAAGGTTGTATGTTAGCCAACCAGATCACAGAACACCACCAGTGTCTGAACAAATCACAGGGGAGACAAGAAATGCTTGGCTCCCGGTGCTTTCTGTTTCCACACCATCAGTCTATGCAGCTCAGTAATAAGTATGGGAATCCTTTTGTTAGCAAAAATAAAGGGGACAGAGGCTAGCTGAACTGCCAGTCACCTAATGAATTAAGTGGCAGAACTAGGGCTAGAACTGAGGTCTCCATTTGACCAACTCAGAGACCTCACCGAGACTGCTCTTAGAAAAGGCTTTCTCTAGGAAGCCGATGAAAGCAGAGCTAAGACTCAGTGAGGGACATTGTTCTCCCTCCCCGCCACCCCATCATTTTCTGTTCCTACCATATCCCACTCAACAGCCTTTCTTTTCTTTCTTCCCATTTTCCTCCCCTTCCCCCTCTTCTACCTGACCCCTTCCTTTTCCTTTCTTCCTAGCTCACTCTGCTCTCTCCTGACCCTCCCTTTGTCTTCCTATTTGCTTACCTAAGTCAGCCTCTCTCTGCTCTGGACTTCTCATCCTTCTCCTCATTCCTCCTTGCTCTTTTGTTTCTCCTCTAATTTGCAATGGCTCAGATTCTCGTCCCCTGAAAGGTGCTTGAGTCTTTGGTCCAGGAAGGGGGACTCTTGGGTTGGGATCCTGAGTAACAGATCCTTCCGCTCAGCTTCATTTTCCCCTGTATCCTAGGAGACTTACTAAACAAACTGCCCAGAGAATGCAACTTAGAACCTAGGTGTTCTAGGTCTTGGTGATTCCTCTGGCACCTGAAGGTGGAATGGGGAGGATGGTCACAACTGAGGCAGGTACAGTTTGGAGAGGAGGGAAAAAGGATTTGGGAGTGGGAGCAAGAGAAAGAGGCAAAAATCAGAGGATAATGACTGAGAGAGAGGTTGGGTCTTAACTGTTTACGCCTAGGCACATATGTGGAGCTCCCTGAGGATACAGATAACTACCTCTACAATACAGATGAGAAAATAGACACACAAATAGGGCAGGAAGTGGCCAAGGGTTGCTAAGCAAGATTTGGTCCTCAACTGACAGGCTTCATGACACTTGGAGATGGACTTTGGTAGAGTTGCCAGTGGCTTATAGTGGAATTTGAGGTGTCCACAGTCTCTATGAGGGCAGGAAGGAAGAGAATCATCCTGTCTACTTTCTTTGGAGCAGGATTATGACAAACCTGGTTCTTATGAAGAGGACAGAATGGCTCCAGTCACAGGTCATAGCCCTCAGAATGTTAGAGCTTGAAGACTCATACAACACATTAATCTAGTGGTTCCTGGTTATATCAATGTCTCCTGTAGTGTCTTAAAATAGAGATTCCTTAGCCCCACCTCAAATCTACCAGATCAGAGTTTCTAAGGATGGGGCCCAGGAGTATTCGTTTTTAACAAGTGCTCCTGAGACACAAGCAAATCTAGGGAACCCTCTACTCCCTCCCACAGTAGATCAGGAAGCCGTGGTCCAAAGTCACAGAGCTAGTTAACATCAGAGACACAACTAGGAGTGGGTACTCTTCCCAATATTTTTTTTTATAATGCTTCCCCCAAAAGGCAGCTTTATTTAAAGAGAAGTTACAGTAAAAATGAAAGAATATTTCCTGTGCCTAAAAGATTCTGTTGTGCTCTTGCGCACATCAATTTAATGTTCTCATGGACGCCTGTGAATCAATCAGATTCATTCATGCCTCCACTCATCCCATAAATACTCAAATGCCTCCTATTTGACAGCACTTGGTCAGACCTAGGAGGCAGCTGGAAATAGGTCAGACTGAGTCCCTGAAGTGTGAGTTGTTGTTTTGGTCTCAATACCAACTTGTCTGAAAATCATAGTTTTTCGGTTCTGTAATCCTTTCCATTAGGCCTCTCTTTCATGCGCGCGGACAAAGTACCCTGGATCATTGAGCAGGCTAAGAATGAGGCATAGAACTCAAACCCTGGCTCTTTCCAAGGAAGTCTCACAACTCTCTGCCTATCGTCAGGGGTTTCTGTATCCCCCGTGGGTCTTGGCCAGCTCTCATGTGGTAACCCTCAACAATCTGTTAATGAATTTGTGCTGAAGCATGACTGCTCCAGGTCTCTCTCTTCCCTTCCTGGGGTGGGCTCACCACTTAGCTGCACAGTGGCAGCCCTGGGTAGCTAAGAGGTCATCATATAAAAAGATGACTGACATAGCTAGTAGGAAAACTGTAAGTGCAAGTGCATAAGCTAGAGAAAACCAGCAGGTCCGTAAACCTGTTCGGGCAAAGGAGCCCAGGGTATGATTTAGTCAGGGCGGATAAGCATGTGGAGGGCACGGGCAGGGACTTGGGCAGGTCAGAGCTAGGAGCAGAGGCTGGTCAGAGCCTCCAGCCCTTACCGTGGGCAGGATAGCCGTCCTACGTCTGAGCTCTGGGATGCTCTCCGCCGTGGGGCACGGAAATCCAGTGGGGCTCCTTTGCGCTTCTTGCACTCACTGACTTCCTCCCCTCTTCAGCTGCAGCTTGCTGCTGTCGCTGGCTGACTTACAGCCAGATGGAGGGAGTGGGGTGGAGAGAGGTGTGAGTTCTCTCCTCAGTCCAGCCCAGCCAACCCTTAAAGGCCCAGGACACTGGTCAGTGTGAGGGAGTCGTGGGGGTGGGGTGGGTAGAACAGGATTAAGGGGAGGGATTGACGAGCAGTGCATCTCCAGGGAGGAGGAGCGTGTCTGCCCTTCATCTCCATGCCAGCCCTCACTGACCTCAATCTCGCAGTAGCTCTCAGAGCGAAATCCAAGGAGTATCCGAGTGGCAGTTCTCCATGAATCACTGCTTTTCATTCTGGTTGGTTTCTCTCTGAATGTTGTACAGCTGTCTTTGCCCTTATTTCACCTGGCTCCCTTCCATGGTGTCTGTTTCCATTGGCCTGCTCCTGTGTCTCTGCCTCCTGTCTTGCTGAGCACTCAGCCTAACTTTCTGGCTTAGGAAAAGGAGAAAAGATACGGTGGGAAAGGAGGGAGAATGATTTTAGAGTGTAGAGGGGAAGGTTGGCGTCTCTATATATATTAGGTACCTGCTGATTATTGAAGGAATGTATATATGAACGTAGGAGACAATTTGTTTCATATATTCATTCATCCTACAACCGTTTGTTCAGCATCTCCAACAGGCAAGGACATATCTGTGTGTTTATAAAGGTATATGTGGAAATGAAGCACATTCACAGTGTATAAGGATCAAAAGCAAAAAGAGGAACACAAGACTGGAAAGCCATCCAGCTGGGAAAGCAAGGTAATGAACTTCTGAAAGCATGTATAAATAGGAAGCGAAAACAGACACCAAGATTGAGGAAAGGGGGCCAAGTTAGGAGAGGAACAGGGGATTGTTAAGGGCTTTATTATGGCCCCATACTTCACAGTGAGAAATGGAGGCCCAGGGAAGTTTTAGCAATGACCTGGACTCACAGGTCAGAGCAGAGACAGCCATTCCCTTACACTCTCCCCAGCACTGTGAGCTGGGACCTACTTTTGCTCTGCGGGGTATGGCTCTTTTTGGATCAGTGTATGACAGAATGGAGCTGAGGGTAGGGGCACAGCTCTGTATTTGGACTTCTGTGGGGTCATCTTCCAGTGAGTTATGTCTTAATCACAGGCACAGAGGGAACTAACTGTACAAAGTGGAGTCATTTCTGAGTGTGCTGGGACCTGGCTGCCTCTCGTGGCTCCTCCAAACATCACTCAACTGCCTAATATTCTGCCATTAGCGCTTATTTATAGCTAAACCTTCAGCCCCATTAAAATAAAATCCTCCTGAGTGATTCCCATAAACGTCAGGATAGCAGTTACTTTGGGAGGAGAGAGGTGTTTCAGTGGGATGGGGCATGTAGCCGGCTTCTGAAACAGCTGGCCAAGTTCTGTTTCTGGTCCTGGGTTGCTGATAAGGGTCTTCATAATAACTTATGAAGCTATACATTTTATGTAGCTTTCTATAGCTTTGTTATATTTTACAACAAAAGGGTTTCACGTTTTAGTAACTGGTAATTTCTGAAGCCTTATGAGTCTCAAAATTTATACCTAAATGTAGTTTACTGCGCTGAGAGCAGGTTTTAACAAAGGAAAAGGAGTATGCAGGTAGTAGAGGCAGAAGAGGGAAGACCATTCCCAGGGAACAGGAAGGTTAGGAGGCATTAAGGTTTAAACTGTGCTGATTTCATATGTTACTTCATAGAGGCCATTTCCCATGCTTGTCTTATTCTCCCATTTCCACTTCTCTAACATTGTACTGTCCTTATTTTTCCATACTAGCCCTTCTGCACTCCCCTTCTACACTCCAGGTTTTTTTTTTTTTTTTTTTTTTGGCTACTTTGGGTCTTAGTTGCAGCCTGGGGGATCTTTGCTGCATCATGAGGGATATCTCGCAGATTCTCATGATCATAATCTCACGATCTCTGGTTGTGGCACATGGGCTTAGTTGCTCCACAGCATGTGGGATCTTAGTTCCCTGACTAAGGATCGAACCCAAGTACCCTACATTGCAAGGCAAATTCTTTTTTATTTTTTATCTTTGGTTGCACTGGGTCTTCGTGGATGTGCACGGGCTTTCTCTAGTTGCAAACAGCAGAGGCTACCCCTGGTTGTGGTGTGCAGGCTTATGGTGGTGGCTTCTCTTGTTGTGGAGCACAGGCTCTAGGCGGGCAGGCTTCAGTCAGTTCACAGGCTCTAGAGCACATGGGCTCAATAGTTGTGGTGCAGGGGCTTAGTTGCCCCATGGCAGGTGGGATCTTCCCAGGCCAGAGATTGAACCCATGTCCCCTGCATTGACAGGTGGTTTTTTATCCACTCAATCACCAGGGAAGTCCATACACTCCAGTGGTACATATATGGTTTGCCTCTCTGAATCACCATTTGCCTCACCTAGTTGCAGCACAATCTCGCTCTCTTTTGAGTGTTCTGTGAGAGGTGTTATCACTCCTCCTGGATTTTCCAATGGAGTTCAAATCTCAAACCTTCTGTTTCAGTGTTCTTATAAGCACCCCAGATCATGTACTCTGATTTTTGGGAAAGCCATTAGAAAACCTTCACATGGTTACTGTGGCTCCAAGGAATGGTTTAGAAGACAGGTCTACTGCAGGATGTTCTTCAGATCCAGGACAGGAGCAGACAGGGCCCTGAGCACAGGAACTGTCCATCTGGTTTAGTTGCTCTTCTTTCCATAATGATCCTGTCCCATCCCCCGACTCCTGTCTATTATTAACAGATGCAGAAACCTGATCAGGGCAGCAGCAGCAGCAGAGGGATTTTCTGGGAACAATGCCCAGGAAAGGCCTAGAAGCCCTAAATTGAAATGAAGGGGCAGCTGGCAAAGAGGAAGAACTGAACAGTGTATCCTGACTCTGCTGCACAGGCAAGCCTAGGCTCTCCTCCTGACTCTCAAAGCAGAAGCCTTAAACCTCTGTTTCAGGGCTGGGGTTTCAGAGACTTACTTCCCAGACCATCCAATCTAACTTCTCAAACTTCTGAAATAAAGCTCTCCTTTCTCACTGGTCAAAAAGGAATACTCAAAATATTAAGGTCCACCTAAAAAATAATCTGTGAGACCACTTGTTGATTTGGGCTTCCCAGGTGGCGCTAGTGGTAAAGAACTCACCTGCCAATGCAGGAGACACAAGAGACTTGGGTTCGATCCCTGAGTTGGGAAGATTCCCTGGAGGAGAGCATGGCAACCCACTCTGGTATTCTTGCCTGGAGAATCCTATGGAAAGAGAAGCCTGGCTACAGTCCATGAGGTCATGAAGAGTCAGACGCGATTGAAGTGACTAAGCACACCTGTTAAAAGCCAGGATATATAACTTTGAAAGACAATACAATATATAGACACTTCCATTCCAGAGAAAACACTCACAAAAACCTCCAAATAACCCCAAAAAATCAAGGTGGGGGGGACAAGGAGGTATAAGAGAAACCAGAGATCAAGATGATAGAGATTAGAACTTAAAATGCAAAGGATGGGGCTTCTCTGGTGGCTCAGTGGTAAAGAATCTGCCTACCAAAGCAAGAGACATGTGTTTGATCGCTCATCCAGGAAGATCCCACATGCCTCGGAGCAGCTAAGCCTGTGCACCACAAGAGAAGCCACAGTAAGTTAGAGTACTGCAACTAGAGAGTAGGCCCCACTTACCACAACTAGAGAAAAGCCCATGCAGCAGTAAAGACCCAGCACAGCCAAAAATAAAATCTACAATGCAAAGGGTATAATATACCACTGTGAGAGATAAAACTCTCAGAAAAGTTCACAAAGTAAAATACAATTTTATGCTATTTCTAAATCATGTCTCAGAAAGGTGGGTCTAAAAGGTTGACAGATAAAGGAGGGTATTCTGGGTGTGGAAGGACTCCAATCTCATTTTTCTTCAAGACGGTCTTGGCTGTTTTGGCACAATGCATTTCCATGAAATAAAAAAAGAATTTAATTTTATTTATTTACTTTTGGCTGAGCTGGGTCTTCATTGCTTTGCTCAGGCTTTTCTCTAGTTCCATGCAAATTTTAGAATCAGCTTGTTAATCTTCACAAAAATAAACCTGCTGGGATTTTACTTAGAATTGAGTTTCACTGGCAGATTAATTTGAGAGAACATGTATCCTTCCAATATTATTTTCTAGTCCATGGAAATGATATGTCTCTTCACCTATGTCTTTTTTTTCCCTATAATTAAGATATCTCAATTTTATTTTCAAAATGTACTTACTGTCAAGATTGTAAAGTCATCCCTGAAATTTCATCAGGATTAAAAATGTTTCTCTAATGGTATCTTATATACAATTTAAAGAAATAAAACTAAGTTATTGTGAAACTTTCATAGTGAGATTTCTAAATAGCTGAGATCATAGGCAAGTTCCCACTTTGTTTCCAACAGATATAAGCTAACCTATACCAAGGAAGAAAAATACTAGGTGAATTGACATATATGACTTGACCACAGACATGTCAATCTTTCTTTCCAGAATGTTGTTTGCAATGTAGAGTCTGCATCTTTCGGCATATCTATTTTGAGCTATTCAATTTATTATGCTATAATAAACAATACATTTTTGAATTTAATTTTCTATTTATTGTATTTAGAAACACACAATTGACTTTTTTGAGGTGCATATTGACTTTTTATTCTGTGACCTTGCTAAGTTCACTTAATTCTAAGAATCTGTAGATTCTTTTAATTACTTATGTACACAATCGTGTTGTCAGCATGTTTTTTTTTTTTTCCCTTTATTATTTTCTTGACATCACACTGGCTAGGACCAGTTTAATGATATATGGAGTTGTGATAGTGGACATCCTTATCATATTCTTCATCTTGTGGAGAATGATTTCAGTATAATTGAAAAGTTTACCACAGGTTTTTAAAAAATACAGTTTGGCTGTCGGGTCTTAGTTGGCAGCACTTGGGACCTTTCCTTGGGGTGCACTCTCTGGGCGTGATGAGTGGGCCTAGTTGCTCTGAGGCATGTAGGATTAGTTCTCTGATCAGGGATCAAACCTGCATCCTTTGCATTCCAAGGTGGACTCTTAACCACCGGACCATCAGTGAAGTCCCAACCAGAGTTTTTATTAAGATTTTGTGTTTTCATGAATATGAAGCCTTTTCTTTTAAATCTTTAAATTATAAATGAATTTGAATTTTTAGGTCAAAATAATTATACACAGATATACACATATATCTACATACACACATATCAAGATTTTTATTAGATTAAGGATATCCCCTTCTATTCCTGGTTTTCAAAGGTTTTTTTTTAAACTCATGGATAAGTATTGAATTTTTCTTCTGTAATACTTATTTAGCTTTATCAGGTCTTAGTTGCAGCACGGGGGATCTTCGATCTTCACTGCAGCATGCAGGATCTTTAGCTGTGGTACATGGGATCTTTCGTTACCAGGGATCAAACCCTAGCCCCCTGCATTGGGAGCATAGAGTCTTAGCCACTGGACCAACAGGGAAGTCCCAGTATTGAATTTTATAGTGCTTTTTCCTGCATATATTTATGATTGTGATTTTTCTCCTGCTTTTTGTTAATTGAACTCAGGCATCAAGTCAATCTATTTTTGCAGTAAACCCAAATCAGACTTGACCCATTATCTTTTCTGTACGTTGCTAAATTTGACTTGACTGGAAATTTTACATTTACATTCATAGAGAAGGTTAGCAGCTAGTTTTCTTTCCAATATCCTTGATAGTTTTTGGTGGCTGGGTTATACTGCTTCAAAATTTAATTAAGACCTGTTTTTTCTCTGTAGTTTCTTGAAGTTCATGAGACCGGTGACTAAGATACGAGTGATGTCCCTTTATTTCATTTCTAACATTGACTTTTTTTCCAGATCAGCTTTATCAGTTTTACTATTTTCGAGAGAATGACTTTTGGTTTGTTACTGTACATCTGTTTTTTATTTCAATTTTTTTTTGCATTTCTTCTACTTCTTGAATTTGCTATTGTTTCTTTTTATGTTTTATTTGGCTGGACTGGGTCCTAGTTGTGGCACTTGGGATCCCCAGCCACAGCATACAGGGTTTTTTTCTTTTAGTTGTGCTAGGTGGGATTTTTAGTTGCAGCACTTGTGGTTCAGTTCCCCAACCAGGGATTGAACCTGGGCCCCCTGCCAAGTCCTAGCCATGAGACTATCAGGGACGTCCTTTCCCAGTTTCTCGACATAAGGTATCTTCATTACTATTTTTTTTTCTCCTAATTTCCTTTGTACTTTTTTTTTTCCTGTGACCAGTGGGTTATTTAGAATTATACTGTTTTATAAGTTAGGGACTTTCCAGTTTTCTCCCTGCTAGCTTAATCCCACTGTGTTCAGAGAACACTGTATTATTTTAATTTAGGGGGGAAATTTCCTTACTTACAGCTTACTTGATAGTTGAGCTATGATCAACTTTGGTGAAAGCTTTTGGTGCAATTACAAATATGTGCATTGTTGGTTGAGTTACAATATTTAATGTATGTCAGTTAAGCTAGGTTTGTGTTGTTCAACTTAACCTATTATATCTGCTTTTGAAATACATGTATTTTTAAAAAAATGAAATTCTGCAATATTCAGGGAAGAAAAATGTCATTTCGTACTATTGTTTCCTATTTCAAATATTTTCCTTGGACTTTTGATAGAGTAACCTTGCATATTTCTCCTCTTCCCCCTCAGGCTTCCTCAGCCTTTGAGCAGCAGAAATAGTCAGCAAGGGAATCATACATACCGTTAGTAAGGAAGGCATGCTCTGAAGGCTACCAGTACCTCTCCTTGTCCTGTTCCACAACTGAAACAAAGGCCCTAAAGCCTCACAAAAAAGAAGCTGGAAACAGAGGTTGGCTCTGTCTCACTGAGAGCCAGAAACAGAGATGGAAATAAGTCTGGAGATAGAAGTCTTGAACTCCAGAAGGAAATGGATATTAAAGTTGGTGAGAGAGAAAAAAAAAATAAAGTTGGTGAGAAAATGTTTGAAGTTTTATCTCTTCATTTAAGGAAGCCTCTCCCACACCAGTACTAGGTTCTGGCCACTACAGCCAGGAGTGAGGTTCTGTTCAAGCAAGACACTTTTATCAGAAAAAAGAGGTCATCCCAGTCTCCCAAACAGCTTTTAAGCATCAGTGAGACTCTTCCAAAGGACCTATCCACAAAGGAACCATCACTGCCCTCTTGGTAGGACAGTGTGTGTATGTAGGTGCACAGAGGTAGTAGAGAGGCAAGGTTGACGAGGATCATCTGACCGAAGTTCCTAGATGTCTCCATATTGACAAAATCCAATCTCCACAGTTTAAATGAAAAACTATTGTTACAAAAACAGAAGCATTTTTATTTCAGTCCTGTTGAGGGAGTGAGAGGGATGGAACACACAAAATGAGGGGAGGGGGTCTCTTTATTCATACACGACATCAGGACCAACTACAAGGAACAATACCCATTTCCATCCCTCCCCCCAACTCCTAGGTGGGGTCCAACGCCCGCTGAGATTAGATGGTACAAGAATTAAGACACTATTGGCACAGTACAATGGCCAATGCACCAAAAGATGGAGAAGAGAATTTCTCAGGGAGCATGGCCTGGGGCCTCAGCTGCTTCCCCAAAGGAGAGGGAATGAGAAAACTTTGGCTCAGCAGGAAGGTGGTTAGCAAAAATCAGGGTTACCCTTGCTGGACTCTGCAGGACAGAAACTGTCGGCTGAAGGGAGTCAAGACGTTTATCCAGTCCATGCTGTTCTCTGCTTTCTCCAAGGCCTTCTCCTCAGGCTTGAGCTTAGTGAGAGCTGGCCTGGTTCTCCTCTTCATTTTTGAAAGCTGGGGAGTAAGTGCTCATTCTACTCTTCCTAAATCTAGGCTATTTCATTACTACTTTCTTGGCTCTAGAGAGACAGAAGCCAACTAATGAGGCCGGCTCCCTTTGTGAAAGTCGGCCTGAAAGAGCCCTTGGGTTGGCAAAACTGCCCCTGCAAAGGTTTTTCTGAGCCTGCCCCCTGTAACTCTCCCCAAATGTGTTCAGACTCACCTTCAACTGTGTAAGATGTGGACTGAAAATATTTGGTCTCTCTAGTTGGGTTACAAATTCCATCTTTGATTGGAGATGGGGATTAGAGAGACAGTAGGTGATGGCAGGTGGAAGGGCTGGGGGAAAGCAAGGCAATTTAATTTACATTGGATTGCAGATTCAAACCTCTGGATTATGAATAGAGTCATTTAAAGATCCAGAGCAGAAAGGGAGATTCTCTGACACAGTACGAAAAAGTGAAAAATATTATAGGGACAATCTCGTAATTCCCATGGACCATAAGGGAATGTGTTCAAAACAAAAGAAACAAAAAACAAAAAACCCAACAAGACTGACTGAGCAAGCAGAGTCCAGTCCTCTGTCTTAAATCCGAATAAAATTAACTCATTCAGTTAATACTGCTTCAAGTACAATCAAGACACTTGGAATTGTAGATTCACACCAAAGCAAAGAATAGGATCAAGAAGCCTATCATCGTTAAGCCCAGATAACCTTCCTTTGAAAAGTCATCCAGAAAATGTCTCTGAGGACTTGAACTGAAGGTGACATTATCATCTCCTCTCAATACAATATCCTCCCAGGACAGCCTGGTGAATTAAGACGCCTGTTTTAAGTTTAGGCAAGTGAAGAAGGGAAGAGCACTGAGATTTGGAAAAGCTAGCAGCGAAAGCCAGAAGCAAGGTTAAGGTCCTTGTGGCATCCAGAACTGGGGGCAGAAGAATGGAGAAGGGAAGGGAAACAGGTGGTGGATTCCTGCTGTCCTTTGGCTTCATATCCTTCCCCTGCCTCCCATTTCCCCCAACAGCTCACGCAGCTATTGGCCTCCTAGAGGGGATATAATGCCCAGACCAACTTTTTATTGAGCTTATGCAGCTAACAGACTTGTAAACAGTGCCAACTGACAAAGGTTTGCTGAATATCACAGCTTGTGTCCACTAAACACACCTCTCTCTAAGATTAAAAACAAAAAACCAAAGTAAACAAATACTGAGAGAGAGGATGAAGTGACACATCTTGAGTCTTCCAGGAAGGCAAAGTAAGAAAACGCCACACGGCTTGGTCCCAGGCGTTCACTGTGCCTAGAGTGCTGCTGCTGCCACCAGTCTCCCCTCCCTGCCAGTGGCTGGGAAGAGGTGAGGGACAAGGGTCATTGTGGGCCTGCTGCAAATACAGCATTTGCTGGTGTTGACACCCTCCTTGGCTGTGGTGGCAGACTGCTGTGTCAGGAGCCCGTTTCCTGGGAGTAGCAGAGGAGCCCAGGTCCTCAAGATGGCCTGAGATGGCAGTTCATACACCTCAGCGGGGGTCCCGTGCCCCTTTTCTCCAGAGCAGTTCAGCATTGAGGTCGTCTATCCCCAGTCGGCGATAAAACCTGAGCTGTTTCCCTTGCAGGTTCCCCCTCCCTTCCCCAACTTGGGGGGAGTAATGGGAGGGGATGGGAAAGGATCACTGAGGGGGCAGGGGGATCCCCCGGGGATCAGTGACCTGACCCTCTTGCAGGTTCTTCACCAGTTGTGCAAGCCAGCGTTTGGTGGTGGTGTCATCTTTTAGCACCTGGGCGAAGGTCGTATCCTTCAGCTGGTCAGGGAGGCACTGCCTGAGTGCTTCACGTGCCCTACATCAAAAACAAACAAACCGACCAGGGAGACCAAACAAATAAACCCACAGTGGGGGACAGGGAAGAGCCCTTTTCTTAGATATAAACATATAGAATCCTGGGAATCTATAGCTCTGTTAAGTACTTTAAGAAGCCATTAAAATTCTCTAAAGCTTATATTAGACATAGTCTTAGAGACCTCCAGGATCTGTTGTCTGTAAACATTTTCAGAATGTTTCCCGTACATTGAATTTTGTGACAAAGCAAATAGAATAAAATGATGCAACAATTTACTTCAAACTGCTTTCTGATTTATTACAGTTGTTGAAATACTCATGTTAAAAATATATGGGTGATAGAAAACAAAACATTCCAAAATCAGAACATTAACAGGGGATAGGACCTGATTCATAGTAGGATAAGTTAATGAACTTTTAACTCTAAACTGATATAAATTTGTGTCTTTCCAAAAACAGCTTCAGTTTTATGTTAAAACTCTTTTAAGAGATGAGCAGTAAAACTGTCGTAAAGTTATTATCAGATGAACTTTCAAATATTTCATTTTCTTTAAAATATTACCAGTAAAAGTCTGAAAACTTTTACTGAAACTTTTCTGAAAAATCTGAAAACTCATAAAGGTAAATGTTAACTATAAGGCTTTTTTCTTTTTTTAAGTTATGGCTTTTGTACTTAGCCTAATTTCTTTTACAAGAAGAGTTTTAATAAATGTATTTTCAAACTTGGTGAAATCAGGAACCACTAAAGAACAGGAGAAAATGGTCAAAGAAATACTTAAGGCTTAAATAACCTCAGTGGCAGGAGTTCACATTAATCAAGTTATCCCCATTCCTAGGAACATAGAAATCATCCCATTATGTGGTTTAGCAGAATATGAGCAAGTGGCTTTCAGCATGAATTATGGATTTACAAAGCAAAAGGTCAAATTTTTCTAAAATGCACTGTATCTACAATGTATGATTTCTGGCAGAGAGAAATAGGGAGGTAAAATAATTAGCTCAAGGACTTTACAGGAATCAAGAGGAGAACTACAGATACAATTCAAGAGCCCTCTGGGTTTGTTCCTTTCTTAAGAGATCTTTGAAAATATACTTTTGTTTCTGATCACCTAGAGTAGAACAGAAAGCTCAAACCACAGGAGTAATGGATCATAAGATTCACTGTCTAAACTCTTGGGAATTTTAGAGTAGGGTACAGAGTTTTGGTGGGGAGACAATACTCTGATGGATTTTGAAATTTAGCATTTCAGATTTTAAACAGAAATTAATCAAGATCTGTCTCAGACAAGCTGAATATAGTTTTATCCCTTCCCTGTCCTAAAGATACAGAAGCCATGACATGAGATGGGGCAGACGCTCATCAGAGTATTTCCCCAAAGTCCTATAAATTCTATAAATGTTTACCTGGGGTTATCTGAGAGTCGAAGGTAACATCTTACTACGTGCTTCAGCAAACGGGCAGAAGGTTCTTTGGATAGCTGCAGGACCATCTTACCCTGTTTCCCCCAAAACGAGGTGGAGTAGGAAAGAACATACAAAACACAAAATAATCCTAGTTGGTATCAGAGACCAGATATTGCAAGAAGTGTTATACAAGGTTTCGTGGTAGTTGTTTCCTGTTGGGAGACTGAAGTAGCTCAGTGTCGACTGCAAAGGAACTAAGTTGTGTGAGCAGAAGCCCTGACGGTCCAGTGGTTAAGAATCCTCCTTGCAATGCAGGGGGACTTGGGTTCAATCCCTGGTTGGGGAACTAAGATCTCACATGTCCTGGGGCAACTAAGCCTACCCAACTACTGAGCCTGTGCGCTCTAAAGCCCAGGTGTCACAACTAGAAAGAAGCCTACGCGCTGCAACAGAAGATCCCCCAAGCCACAACTAAGACCCAACACGGCCAAATTAATAAAATTAAAAAGGTAAAGGAAAGAACTCACCAAGATCATCGCAACATGGGAGAAACGCTCATATGTCTGACATATATAAGCCAAACCAGTGTCATCTAAGAGGATCTTCTGGAGGATAAATGTGGCAACCTGGAGTAAAACAAAATTAAGAGTCTAAAACATTGCTCAGACTTGTCTTCCAACTGTCTACTCCTCTCCTAGGAATAACCATGAAGCAGAAAACTAAGAAAATGCCCTTGCATTCTAGATAACTTACTTATGACAACTTTTGCACAGTACAAAAAAATAAATATATATTACTATATTCAACAATATATGCCAGAATTTTTCCTAAAGCTATAACATGTCTTATCTTATTTCCACAACAAATCTATGAGGTAGGTACCATTGTTATTTTACTTAAAAAGAGTAGGTAATCATCAGAGTCTTAAAAACAGAGAGGTTTTCTTAGTTACTGAACACCTATGTGCCAGGGACAACTGTTAATCAATAACTTGCCAGGTTAAGATCCCAAGCAACAAAGTGACTAAATCAGAGTTGAGATCCAAACCTAGTTAAACACAGAGCCTCTCACTTTTCCATGGGCCAAGATGATTTCAGAAATGCAGCCATGCCTCATCCCTTCCAAATGAGTTAGGTAAGATTTTTCCTATTCTTAAAAGACCTTTAAGAAAATAAGATTTTTAAGCCTCCCTTCAAAAATTGTTCCAACAGTAAAAAAGAATACACTCAATTTAAGCTCATTAACTCTTACACAGACGGGGTTAAAAAAGTTCTAATTCAAGTCAAATGATTATTATAATGATTCTCTTCCTTAGCTGCTCATCAGAATCAACTGTGGGAATTACTTGTTTTATTTTACTATTTTACTGGTGTATAACATTGTGGTTAGCTAAATAATGGCCCCCGAACATATCCAGGTCGTAATCACTAAACCCTGGGGATGCTACTTTCATAAGGCAAAAGGTACTTTGCAGAAGTGATTGTTAAGAATCTTGTGGGGGATTAACATCTTGGATGATCCAGGTGGGCCTTAAAGGTCATTATCACAAGGTTTCTTATAAAAGGGAAGTGGAGGGAGATGTGACCATAGAGAAGGTGATGTGACAGATGCAGAGATTTGAACATGCTACACTGCTGGCTGTCAAGATGGAAGAAGGAGGAATAGCCAAGATATGCAATTCTAAAAGCTGAAAAAGGCAATTCACCTTCCAATGCAGGAGACATGGGTTTGATCCCTGATCTGGGAAGATCCCACATTTCTCAGAGCAACTGGGCCCATGTACAACTACTGAGCCTGTGCTCTAGAGCCCAGGAGCCTCAACTATGGAAGCCTAAGCCCTAGAGTCTGTGCTCTGCAACAAGAGAAACCACTGCAATGAAAAGCCTGCACACTACAACTAGAGTGGAGCCCCTGTTTTTCACAATTGGAGAAAGCCCGTGTGCAGCAACAAAGACACAGCACAGCCAAAAATAAATAAAATTATATATATATATATATATATATACATACATATAAATGAAAAGAAAGCTGAAAAAAAAGCAAGGGAAGAGATTCACTCCTAGAGTCTCCAGAGGCAATGCCATCCTTATGGGCACCCTGACTTAAGCTGGTTAAACTGATTTATGGTTTCTGGTTCCAGAATCATAAGAGAATAAACTGGTGGTGTTTTAAGCCACCAAGCTCGTGGCAATCTTTTGCAGCACCAGTAAGAATATCAAACAAACATATACACAGTAAAGTGTGTTAAATGTACTAATCTTAAGTGTATTTTGATTTTTACCTGTTCCACATCTGTGAACCACAACCAGACTAAAATACAGAACATTACTAAGTTGGGATTAACATATATACAATACTATAAGCTGGCTCATTAGAAAAGACCCTGATGCTGAGAAAGATTGAAGGCAGAAGGAAAAGGGGACGACAGAGGACGAGATGGTTGGATGGCATCACCGACTCAATGAACATGAGTTTGAGCAAGCTCTGGGAGATGGTGAAGGTCAGGGAAGCCTCGAGTGCTGCAGTCCATGGAGTTACAAAGAGTCAGACACAACTGAGTGACTGGACAACAATATAAACAGATAACCAACAAGGACCAATTGTATAGCATAGGGAACTATACTCAGTATTTTGTAATAATCTACAGTAGAAGAGAATATATATCTATCTATATATATATATATATATATATATACAAAAAAAGAATATTTATCTATATATGAATCACTTTGCTATATACCTGAAATTAACACAATATTGTATAAGTCAACTATAAACTATACTTCAATAAAAATAAAAATTTTAAATATAGAACATTTTCAGCACTCCAGAAGATTCCCTTGTGCCTTCTCCCAGTCATATCCTTCCCTGAGAGGGAGTCACTACTCTACTTTATCCTCACTGACTGGTTCTGACCACTCTGGAATTTCACATACATGGTCATACAGTGTGAACTCATCTCATCATATGTGCCTGGCTTCTTTCATCTGACGTAATACCATCTATGCTGCCTATTATCAGCAGTCCATTCTTCTTAACTACTGCGTAGCTTATTTTGTAAATATACTACAGTTTATCTTCCATGAGCAGAAGTGACATAAACACTCCTATACATGTTCTGATGCCCATAAGGGCTCATTTTTGGGGGGTGTGTGTGTGCCATGTGACTTGTCGGACCTTAGTTTCTCGACCAGGGATCGAATCTGGGTCCTTGGCAGTGAAAGCATGGAGTCCTAACCTCCAGGGAATTCTGTAGAGCTCATTTTTCTTGGGTATATATGTAGGAGTGGGACTGCTGAGTCATACGGTAGACATGTTTATAGTGGATACCACTGAACAGCTTTCCAGAATAACATACTATACACTTACCCAGAGGGATTTAAAAAAACAAAAAACAAAAAAACACACAAATGTCCATACTTTATCACCCTGGACAATGGTTCAGTAGGTCAGAGACGGAACCTGGACACTGATGTTTTTAAAACACTTGACAGGTGATCATGTCACATAGCCTTGATTGAGAACCTCTGTTTTACCTGGTGCCAACTATAGCAAGGCCTGAAACTCAGGATTTGTACATGAAAACTGAACACGACAAGGTCTTTGCTTGCCAAAGATAGGAGAAGCATTCTAGTTGAAGTGTAAAGGTCAATGGGAACTTCTAAACATCAAGGATGAATTAATTTTAGTAATGGGGAAGGAATGAAAACAGGGGAGGGATTATTAGGATGGGGGCTCCTGGAAGAAATGTCACAAAAGAAGAAATGAATCTTTTTCTGTCTCAGCCATAAGAAGCCAACTTGAACAACACCTATTCACAGGCAACTATGAATTTAAAAACAAGAGAATTCAGTTGTACCCATTCCAATCCTGTCCCAGAAATCCACTGAAATTAACAAAATAATAAAATTAAGGAAGAAATGAGAAAAGAAAAGCATGAACACAGATCACACATCACTTATCCTTTGTGTGTTTAGTAGAAAGTTGAAGACAGAGGTATAAATCCTCCCTAAAACACACACCCTAAACTGGCAGGCTGGGTGGAAAAGTATTCAGAGGCAAAACACTTGACTTAAAAACTGCCAAATTCAGCTCATAACATCTCTCTTTCTATCCATTATTTTTAAGCAAACAGCAATCCTGGATAGAAAGACTCCCACAGGGAAACCCTTATAGAGACATAACCCAAGAAACAGTAGCAAGTAATACTTATCTGCATTTTCAAAGAAACAGAGCGAATATGAACTTTAAAAAACATTTTTAAAAAGTTCAAAGAAAATACAAAATTCAGAGAAGAGCTGAAACAAAAAGAGAAGTGAGAAGCAGAGACTAGAGGAAAAAAATTAATACAAAATTAAACTGCTACATGTATACATAAAATATTTATAGAAAGATTCTACAAGAAAGTAATAATACCGGTTACTACCGAGAAGAGCTGAGAGGTAAGGTAGAAGACTTACATTAATTTGCTTGTATACCTATTTGTAGTAGCATATGACTTATTACTTTATTTGTATTGCATATTCACAACAAATTTTAAATCATTACATCTGCTTACATCCAACTCAGCAATGACTTACCTAATTAAAAATTAAAGTGACTAGTCGATGTGACCAGATATACTTTATAAGCAGAGGTTAGATATTGCTAAAAATAGCAACATGGAAAAGTAGCCTTGAGAAAAATCACATTATATGAAATTAAGGATAGAAAGTAATTAGATGGTGAGAAGAGACATATGAAAAATAGACAATACAGCATAACCGATGTTGCTTAAGCAAGAGGCCAAAACAAAGGGGAAACTATAAAAATTAACAACAGAAAAGACACAATGAGTAGGCTCTTTCAGAAAAAAATCTGACAAGGAAAATATTAGGCTGACTCAAGATTTCACTACAACATTTAGTACCAGAAGACAACATGGCTATGATAATGGAGTTCTGAGAGGGAAAACAGAGGTGAGAATTCTATAACCAGTTACATTATCATCCATGGTTAAAGTACAAAGCAGGCAGAAGCTCAAGTATATATATACATACTTGATTATGTATAAAAAATGTCTGGAAAAATATACCTGTGGAGTCATAAAGGGGTTCAGATAAAAGGGAGAAATTTAATGTTTAACTTTATATTCTTCTGATGGTTCTAGGTGCTTAAATCATCATTATATAACAATTTTTATTCAAAAGAGAAAAAAACATTGACGGAAGTTTCAAAAACATGAAGGGAGGCAGAAAAAGATAACTCAAACATAAAGTAGTCGTCCAACAGTCAACACAATGTAGAATCTAATTAAGATAAAAACACACACCGTTTTAGAAAGTTCACTTCCAGATTCCATAATTCGCAAACACAAAGGGATGATTTCTGTTGTCAATAGAAAGTTGATTACTTCCTGCTCATCTGTTTTCACCAGAGCCCCTAAAGAAAATATGGACAGACGAAATTATTTCAGAGTCACGGTTTCCAGCTAAACTTGTTCATCCATCTAATTGTGGAACTTAAATAACATACAACAGAAACTGTGGTTTATATGTCAGAGAATCAGATTCAAACCCTGGCTTTAAAAAAAAAAAAAGGAGCAAGAAAAGCACAGGTTGACTGTCAACACTAAAAGATCAGGTACAAAGTTTGGTCCATCACATAATTAGCATCAGTTTAGCTACTTAAATAATTGTTCTATCACTTTGGTAGACAATCACACAATAATATCACCATCTCTTCTCCATGTACTTTAGATAAGAGAAAAGAATTCTTGTTGTCACTGTTGTTTTAGGTTCTTAATCATGTTGGACTCTGTGACCCCATGGACTATAGCCCACCAGGCTCCTCTGTCCATGGGATTTCCCAGGCAAGAATACTGGAGTGGGTTGCCACTTCCTTCTCCAGGGGATCTTCCTGATCCAGGGATCACATCTGCATCTCCTGCATTGGCAGGTGGATTCTGTGTCCCTGAGCCACCATTCTTCAGGCAAGAAAACTGTAGTGGGTTGTTATTCCCTTCTCCAGGGGATCTTTCCACCCCAGGGATCAAACCCAGGTCTCCTGCATTGCAGGCAGATTCTTTACAGTCTGAGCCCCCAGGGAAGCCCTAGTGAGAAAAGTTCTACATCTGTATTAAAGCATACTCCCAGGTACAAAGAAACAGTGCCGTCTAAATCCTACTCACAACAGGTATAAACAAACATGACTTCCTGGTTATTTAACTGCCCCTCTTTCCCCAAAAAGCAAAACACTGTAGGGCATACCTAAACAAGAAACACATACCTAGAGTCTAATTCTGGTTCCACCAAAGTTTGATAAAGTTACCTTCACTTTGCAAAACCTCTGCTATTTTAATAAAATAAGAGGTAGACAAACAGTTTCCAAAATTATCCCAATTCTACTACTCTGCTGGTTTCTAAACTGACACCATTGACCAGGTGACAGACACAGTTCAGTGATATCCTCTCCATTCTGTATACAGGGAGGCAAAGTCCCATTAAACAAATGACTGTTCCCTGAGTGGTCCAATGCTTCACTAGCTTTTATATCAAAGGCCTTAATCAAAGGTCTGTAATAACAAAAGTCAATTAATTCAGAAGAGAGTGGTATCATTTGCTTTAACCAGAACTGGTAGTCTACAAATACTATATCTTTAAACAGCACAAACCATAACTAACTAACATGGCTTACAACAGATGTCAAATTATTATCTCATTTAGACTTTTTACATGTGGGTCTAAAAATCCATCTTGAATTAATTTTGTATAGAGTACAAGATAAGGGTCATGGTTCATTGCTTTACATACGAATATCCAATTGTTCTACCACCATTTATTGAAAAGACTATCCTTTCTTCACTAAATTCTCTTTGTGCCTTTGTCAAAAATCCAATTGACCTTATTTGTGTGGGTCTATTTCTGTACTCTCCACTCTGCTCTGTAAGTCCATATTTTCTCCAACACCACAATATCTTGACTTTTGCAGTTTTCCAGTCGATCTGGAAATCAGGTAGATTATATCTTCCAACTTTATATCCTTTTTTTAAAAAAATGGATATTCTAGTTCATTTGCCTTTTCAGATACAATCTTAGGATCACCAAGGGCTTCCCTTGTGGCTCAGCTGGTAAAGAATCTGCCTGCAGTGCGGGAGACCTGGGTTCAATCCCTGGGTTGGAAAAATCTCCTGGAGAAGGGAAAGACTAACCACTCCAGTATTCAGCGTGGAGAATTCCATGGCTCACAAAGAGTCGGACATGACTGAGAGACTTTCACTAGGATCACCAATTTCTATTAAAAACTTCTACTGGAATTTTGTTAGAATTGCTCTAAAACTATACGTCATTTGTGAGGAGAATGACATCATAACATTGAATCATTGATATACCAATTGATAAACATGGTTTATCTCTGCATTTATTTAGGTTTTCTTCGATTTCTTTTATCATTGCTTTATAGTTTGTAACTACAGACTTTGCACGTATTTTGTAAAATTTACACCCAAGTTTTTCAAATATTTTGGTAAAATTCCTATTTAGCTCAAGCATACCAAAATATGACTAAGTTTTGTGTACTAATTCTGTATACTACAACCTTATTAAGTTCACCAGTTTTAGTAGCTTTTTTCTGTCGATTCTTCAACACAGGTTGTCTGTGAATAGACAATCTTGTTTTTTCTTCTTTTAAAAAAATTTTAACTGAAATATAGCTGCTATACAATAATACTATATACCATATTGTCGCAAGTTTCTGCATCTATGTTTATGAAGGATACTGGCCTATAGTCTTTTTCTGTTTTTATTATCAGAGTATTGCTGGCTTCATCAAGAGTTGAGAAGTCCCGTCTGCATGTTCTGGAAAAGTCTTACACAATTTTTCTTTTTTAATGCACTTTAGCAGACTGTATTTTTCAAAGAATCTGTCATTTCACCTAGGTGGTCAAATTTATGGACGGAGAGTTATCAGCAGTATTATCTTATTATCCTTTTGTCTGAGGAGTCTTACACATGTAACCCCTTTCATTTATCACATCTGCAATTTGTGTCTTCTTTTTTTTTCTAGTTTGTCTGGTTAGAGGTTTATTAATTTGTTTTTTTTCAACAAAAAATTGGGGATGGATGAAATGGGTGAAGGTGGTCAGAAGGTATAAACTTTCAGTTACAGGGTAAGTAAGCTCCAGAGATATAATGTATAGCACTGTGACTACAGTAACAATACTATAGTGTATGTCTGAAGGCTGCTAAGAGAAATCTTAAGTTAGTGATTTAAAAGTTCTTATCACAAGGGAAAAAAAAAGTGTAACTATGTGATGATGGATGTTAACTAAACTTACAGTAGTGGTCACTTTGCAGTATATACATATACCAAATCATTATGCTGTATACCAAAAACTAATACAGTGTTTTTGTCATGTCTCAATTAAAAAAAAACCTGCCATTGGTTTCACTGATTTCATCTATTGATTTTCTGTTCCCATTTTTATTGATATCTAGTCTTTATTATTTCCTTCCTTTTGTTTGCTCTTGCTCCTTTTTCTAATTTCTTAAAGAAAAGCTTAGCTTACTGATTGAAGACCTCTTTCTTACTTTCTAGTATAAACATTTAATTATACAAATTTTCCTCTAAGCTCTGGTTTAATTGGATCCTACGAATTTTGATAAGCTGTATTTTTATTTTTACTCAGTTTCAGGTATTTTCTAATTTATGCTATATATCACTTCATTTATATTCAAACTGATCTGATAAGCCTTGAACTGTAGGAAAGAGTCTAGGCCCAAACATGCACCTTCTGCTGTTCTTTCAAATGACTTGGGAGAAACTGAGTTTCTAAAAATATATGCAAGGGGAGACAACTACCTTAATACCATCCAACTATTTTTTTTTTCACACCTCCCCATTATCAACCTTTATCTTAACATAAAGGCATCATCCAATGATAGCAGTAGGATGATCTGAATTAGAATAATGAACATAAATGTTTCCTTTCGCTAGAATCATGCTGATGTATCAAAGCCTACATGAGAAGTTTTTATATCTTAAAGCAGAAAAGAATATACTGGGGAAAAAGTTTCTTATCAGGACGACTTCTCAGAAGATGTAAAAAACCATAACATGCTTAACAGCTACTCCTTAAAAGTAGAATAAAATATTTCTGAGAAATACCAAACTTTCAAATTATACTTCCTGATTCATGGTTTACAATCATACGGATGAAACATATGCTGAATATAAAAATAATAATTTAACTCTTTTCTGAAGAATCGGCAAGATGGCGGAAGTGGAACAGAAGAAGCATCAGACCTTCCGTAAGTTCACCTACCGCAGCATAGACCTCGACCAGCTGCTAGACATGTCCTATGAGCAACTGAAGCAGCTATACAGTGCGCGCCGACGACAGCGGCTGAACCGCAGCCTGCGGAAGCAGCAGCACTCGCTGCTGAAGCGGCTGCGCAAGGCCGAGAAAGATGCACCGCCCATGGAGAAGCTCAAGGTAGTGAAGATGCCCCTGCGCGACATGATCATTCTGCCCGAAATGGTGGGCAGCATGGTGGGCCTCTACAACGGCAAGACCTTCAACCAGGTGGAAATCAAGCCTGAGATGATTGGCCACTACCTAGGCGAGTTCTCCATCAACTACAAGCCAGTGAAACACGGCCGGCCCGGTATCGGGGCTACCCATTCCTCCCACTTCATCCCCCTCAAGTAACCTGCTGACCAATAAAAGCAGAGATTTCTCTAAATAATAATAATAATAATTTAACAAAACAAAGTTTCTATAATTGATGTTCTTATTACTTGGTTATTATGTTAAGCAAAAACTATGAGGAAAAAACACTGAAAAAAGGAAGGGCAATTTAAGGAAGAAATTTTCTTGAATGTATTTACATTTCACAAATCTACAGATTTTATTATCTAGTAGTATGAGATCTGAAATAGCTAATATAATTTTCTTGAGTAAAAAATATTTTAGATACATGTCCAATAATAAATGTATATGAAAACATTAACTTTAACATGCAAAAATTCAACAAGGTAAAATAGAAGGTAAATCCCTGGGATTATGGGAGAACCACCTAAAAGTGAGAGATGAAAAATCAAACCAAAATAACAAACTCAAACTCTTATTCCTGTAATAATATTCTTTGTTGATTAATGCTCTTTTACTTTACTTTTCCTACAACTAATAAACATTTCTACATATGCACTGAATTTAATCCCAGTTATTGGGCCTCATAGCCTTACTAACACTCAGGATGGTACTTGGTTGGAGCAACCATGTTCCTGATATTCATTTATTAGTAAAAACTGTTTTATTAGACTCCACCCCAAAGACAAAAATAAACAATAGGTGAACAAAAGCTATAAAAGACCAGACAAAATACCTAAGCCAAGACCACTATTATGAATGATGATGATGATTCCAGGCTTGCAGAATGATCCTAATAACTTACCAATAACTCCAAGACTGGTTAGCCGAAGATACTCAAAGGGTCGTGTTTTGCTGACAGTGTGCAAAAAGGGGTACAAAAAAAGTGGGATGTGTGCTGCAAGAAATGCTGACCTGAAAGAAAAAAAGAATTGCATTCAGAGCCTAGAGTTAATTTCTAAGGATTCTGAACATTCAAATTTCCAGGTGGTTTTAATTTTGTAAGGCTTTTAACATTGCTTGACCAAGGAATCTCTAGGGAAGACTGTTACTGGTCTTTAATCTAGCCCAGTGGTTCTCAGCTGGGGTGATTTTGACCTCCTGGGGCATGTGGTAGTATCTGGAGATATTTTTAGTTGTCACAGCTGAAGTGACTGACATCCAATGGGCAGAGGCTGGGATGCTGCTAAAAATCTTACAGTGCACAGGACAGTCCCCTGTCTTCCCCCTCCTCCTACCACAAAGATTTAATCCAGGCCAAAATGTCAACAGTGTCAAGGCTGAGAAACCCTAGTCTAGACCAATAGTTAAAAGAACACAAAATTTCCCCTGAAACCAGTACCAAGTATTTAAAAACTGATAAAAATATCCAACTGCAAATTTTAAAAATAGGTCATAAAATGTACTTAAATGCACAAGAGATTCTCCTATATGTCTTCTCTCATCTAATTTATGAGTGAATAACAATATTAATAATATTCACAGGTACAAGCTGACAAAACCTTATAAACCAAGACAACAAAATAAAGCAGCCACTATCAAGGTTTATCTGTTACACTTAAATACACTTCTTTGTTAGAGCTTTCAGATAAACCAAGTATCCTAAAAACACTGTAATCTGCAGCTAGTATGTTTAACAACTAACATGGAATCAGTCTATTACTTTATATAATTTATAACAGTTACACCTTACAGGAGAGCCAATACCCCAAAATTTTAACCAAATACTATTGTACTTTTCTTAAGTACTTAAAAGTAATTCTTTTTTTAAAATAATTTTTACAACTCATTTAATGGCAACTGGTAATCATCAAACTAGCAATGGTTATCTTCAAAAATTATCACACTAGCTGTGCTACCATTTCTCAAGGTTGATCAGATACCTAGAGTCACAAACAATTCCCACACAAGATACGTCATGTAAATCAGACTTGGTTTATCACCAGCGTTTATAAAACCAAACCTAGGCAAAGAACTAGGTCTGGGGACACATGCATGGTCTTAATATAGCGAATGTTTAGCCTGCCCTGATTATTACAAAATCAGAACAGCGAGAATATTCGCAGAAAAGTAATTTTCTTAACAAAGTTTCTACATTCCAAAAGGTCAGTGCCAATCCAGCACTCAGATTTTATAAGGAAAACTAGACAAAGAGAGGAAAGGCTTTAATAAGATGACTATTAAGCGCCTTGAGGCCATAAAAGCCACAAAGCAGATTTCTGAACAGAATCTCCCCGTTCTTAGTCAGATATAGCAGTAAGGGAAAAATTTCTCAACTTGCACATCAATTCTCATTTATGACAGAGGCTGACTAGAATCCTGTTTTCAAAAAGTTCTGAAGCCAAATCTGGCTTACCCTGTAAGAAAAAGTGCTGAGTATAGACACTTACTGAATTCCAACTAAATACCATGCACTGTGCCTCATGCATGGCATAGTGATGCCTACCAGGATTCAGGAGCAAGAAGTAGCTATATACCTGACTTTTCCTGAGAGGTGATCACCACTCCTTTAAAGTTCCTTGCTACCAACAGTTAAAAAGTAAATGAGACAATGCAGTATTATTCAGCCTTAAAAACGAAGGAAATTCTGACTTATCCAACAGTATTGATGAACCTTGAGGACTTCATGTTAAGTGAAATACACCAATCACAAGAAGGCAAATACTATGTAACTCCATTTATAATGAGGCACTCAGAATAGTCAAAATCACAGACAGAAAGTAGAACAGTAGTTGCCAGGAGCTAGAGGACAGGGGGATGGGAAGTTATTGTTTAATGGGTACAGAGCTTCAGTTTTACAGGATGAATAGAATTACAGAAATGGATGCTGGTGACAGTGGCACATTATGAATGTATTTAACACTACCGAACTGAACACTTAAAATCGGGACTTCCCTGGGGTCCAGTGGTTAAGAATCTGCATTGCAATGTAGGGGATGTGGGTTCAATCCCTGGTTGGGGAACTAAGATATCACATGCTGCAGGACAACTGGGCTCATGTGCCACAACTATTGAGCCTGTATGCCACAACTAGAGAGAAGCCTGCATGCCACAATGAAAAGCTTACATGTTGCAACTAAACCTAACACAGCCAAAAATAAATGAGTAAAATAAAATGGTTCGAATGATATATTTTATGTTATTTATATTTTACCACAATTTAAAAAGGCAAAAAAAAATCAATTATAAAAAGAACATGTTACTATGATTAACTCATGTTGATGTCTGGCAGAACCAACACAATACTCTAAAGCAATTACCCTTCAATTTAAAAAAACTTTAAAAAACAAAAAAATACCCCACAACATGTTAAACAGTACCATATTGCCACTACACCAAAATTTGGTGAAATTAGACACCAGACATTCTCCAGGAATAAAAAACTCGGAGTCCTGAAGATCCACACCCACATAGGTGTGCCCTCCTGCAAGCCCCTCCTCTCATCATTCAGAAATAGTTCAGGACCACATTCAATCAAAGCTCTACCCACACACCCATCCAAAGTATTTACCTGGTTTCTGGATGTGATGCCACACATTGCAATAATGCTAGAGCATTGCAAACTCTGTTAGATTGGTGTGCTGTCAAGGTGGGTGGGTTGATAGATGGATAAATATTTACAATTTCCTAAAAAACAGAAATCAACACCATATGAGCATGGAATAACTTTAATTCCCATCGTACGAAAGCAAACAATTTTAATTCTGCATACCCCATAAGAACAGAACCATCAAAGAGGGGGCAGAAATAAACAATATTCCTTTCATCACAAATATACCTGACTGAGACTATTTGAAACATATTATCCCTAGGAAGATTTCTAAGGAGGGAACTGTGGTTACCCACACTTTTTCCTATATTCTGCACCATCTGCTGAGGCTTTCACTTGAGGGACTCCCCTTCCCCCACTTTTGTCAACACCCTACTTTAGTTTGTAGTGATGAGACAGTTGACCAGGCAATGTCAGTAAATCAACCACTTTAGCTCATAAAGAAGTTTCTGTTTGGTGATGTAGCAAGTGCAAAAAGGGGGAGATAAGAAAGTGCGTACATGTGCGGGGATATGTACAAACAGCAGAGAACATATGTATTCTCTGTCAAAAGGTGATGATTTGCTGAACACAATTCCATTTATCTTAACTGTAAAATTTACACAGAAAATGTTCCCCTAAGAAAGACTAGTTTCCTGGGTACATGCAGTACAGATAGAATATGAATTTACTCAACAGATTTTAAAAATTAATCTAATTATTAGGAAGGTGGACAATACTTTAAAAGATGATCATATCTTGGTTCTTAGGACTACATCATATCAATTTATTCCCCGGAAATGACTGTTCTAGTCAGAATCAAATATTATTTATTCTTTAATGTACAAGTATATCCAACTTTACTCCTATGGCTGTTATATCTTTACCCTAGCATTTTCTTTACCCAGAATATACCTTTCAGTTCTTATACCTCCCTTTCCACCACCATCCCCACTCCACCTCGTCATGCAGTATTATTTTACAGTACTCCTAAAGCTGTGTTTCTCAAAGTGCAGTTCTTACATCACCTACATCAAAATCATCTGGGAGTGGGGAGCTGCTTGTTAAAAATACATATTTTTCATTTTAGACTAAATAAATCAAATCTCCTGGGTAGGATCCAAGAATCTCATTTTAATGAGTATCTTAGATTTTTCTAAAACAAGATTCTTACAAATGGTAACACTTTAAAAAAAAAATTACCAAAGTTTTCAAAATCATTTGTACAAAGGCAGAGAGATATAATTGTGATAATTAGGAATGAAATGCAACTCATGGATATATATACCCACCTGTAAAAGTGCTGCAATAGTACCAAATGAATGCCACAGCATGGGTGCAAGGTCAGGAACAGATTCTCGCTTCTTACTTAACTCCAGCAAAGCATTTTCCCTCGTCTCAGGACTGGACAGCTCGTTGATCCACTGATAGATCTTTTCTCTATCCACCTGAGCCAGTGCAGTAGGCACAGGCTTCAAGTGAAAATAAGAAGAGTAAAAGTAAACATGTGAGTTTCATCAGCATCAAACCAAGTCTTACTCTGCTGTAGCCTCTAGATGGAATATATTTTTTGTAAATAACAGGGCATCTTTTCTAGAAACATATACTTGACGTAAACTAATTAAATCTATCAAAATTTAAAACACACACACTCCTTAATAATACCATATTTAGAAATTTACCCCCCCCCCCAAAAAAAGAAATTTACCCCACAGGTATACATGGGCTGTACTGAAGACATATCAGAATGTTTACTGTTGTACTATTTTCAAAGCAGAAAACTTGAAATCTATCAATATCTATCAAAAAAAGAACTGGTTAAATATGTATGGGTACATCTTTATTTGGAATACTACATAGCCCTTTAAAAAATTTATCTCTATACTGTGCTGATACTAAATAAGCAAAAAAAAAAAAAAAAAACAAAAAACCCAGAGTGTAAAATAGCTTATACGCTTCCATTAACACACACATGTATTCTTACATATTTACATACAATATTTCTAGGACACATAAAAAACTGCTAACAGTAGTTACCTTTAAGGTTAAAATCTATATGGGAGACTTATTTTTCATTGTATACAATAAAATCTTTTACATACAGTTTAAATTTTTTAACCACGGGACTATCATGGTTTTTGAAAGAAAAAGTCATCCCCCTACTGCTCTTCATTCCCCAGTAACTCCAGCATCCCCCTCCATGAAGGAGAAAACTTAACCTAAATTGGAAAAGCTCCTCACTCTAATGATTCTTATACAGACTCTACCTCCATCCCTTGGAGATTTACTCACTACTTCAGTTCAGTTCAGTTCAGTTGCTCAGTTATGTCAGACTCTTTGCGACCCCACTCACTATTTACTCATGTACAAACTATATAAAGAATCTTTCATTACTGTGCTATAAAGAATCTCAATATTTCAATAAAAATTTGAGCACTTCCATAATTCTTCACATTTTCAAATAGACTTGGTTAAGTTCCTTAATTATTCTTACGTGGAAAGTAAAATCAAAGTCTAGAAAAATGATTACCATTGCTACTTCAGGCTCTAAAGTCCTAACAAATTTATGGCGATTTCTATCCCTAGCCCAATACTGTTTCACTTCATTCCCTGCACCCCCTAACCATGAGGAGTAGATAGACAGAAAAGAGGTCTATACTTGTAGATGAGACTCATAATGCTCAGAGGAATTAACTTGCTCAGCTCACCCAAGTACAAAGTTGCATATTCTAATCTTTCTTAAACCATATTACACAGCTTCTTACAGTATTTATTTGTTCCCATAACACCACAGTGTGATAGAATACCGACCAACCCATCCCACATGATATAAAGATGAGGAACAAAAAGCACAACTGTCTTAACTGAAAAACAGAATGAAGTCTAAGGTGGACTTTGAGGAGTACTCACATTTACTCTACTCAAGCTGAAAGACCGCCTTCTATAATTAGAAGCTCAATTAGATGCTTTTAGCTTACTGTTTATCATTTCTCTTGCGCTAGAATGAACCACAAGGTGTTCTGCTAAATGGACTATAAATCCTGCAGCTTAAGTCCTCCTTAAGTGCCTCAGAGTAATCTGCTAAAAGCTGTTTTGTAATTCCCATCAGTGATGCTCAAGAAAACATAAGGTTCCTAAATGATGTAGAAGGAACAGGGTAGTTTTCTGATCCCCATTCCCAACAGCAAAAACAGTATGGTCCACCCATCTGCCTTTTCTACTGCCACAGACAGGCCTTCAACTTTAAAAATTATTTTTGGAAATGTAATTCCACCAGAAGATAGGACATATTTATTTAGAGTATTACATCACCTTAAAAGCTCAGTGAAAACAAGGGCTAAAATTGTAGCTTGGGGTTTCCTGCCCACAATCTCTTGGACAACCTACAATCCTTAAGAGAGCCCCAGGACAACGTTCTGGCAATATAGCATCTATCCTCATTAGTCATTACTCATTCCAGAGGCCTGTCATCCAGATACTAGCATCAGTAAGCTCCACCACCCTCTCCAGAGTCAATCTGTGACTTGTATCCAGCACTCCTGTACCCTATCCTGTTCTGCGGAACTCTAGGTGAACACCACCAGGCTGCAATGGTAGATACCAGCTAGCATATAATGGATTCAGGACTCCAGGCCCTGTCTGCACATATTCCCATTTCCAGAGCTGGTTTGACTCCAGCAGAGAAGACTGTGCCCCTGGAGTGATGCTGGCACGCTAAAGGGCCAATGTCTGGTAGTCCCTAAGGCCATGACCACCGGCTGCCAGTAATACTCCACCTTTTGAAACTACTTGTGGGAATTTTAGCCTCTATGAGACTTTGGTTCTAAGAGAGCTAGGGAGGTCAGTCAGTTCAGTTGCTCAGTCGTGTCCGACTCTTTGCAACCCCATGGACTGCAGCACACCAGGCTTCCCTGTCCATCACCAACTCCCAGAGCTTGCTCAAACTCATGTCCATCAAGTTGGTGATGTCATCCAACCATCTCATCCTCTGTTGTCCCCATCTCCTCCTGCCTTCAATCTCTCCCAGCATCAGTCTTTTCCAATGAGTCAGTTCTTCGCATCAGGTGGCCAAAGTATTAAGAGTTTCAGCATCAGCATCAGTCCTTCCAATGAGTATTCAGGACTGATTTCTCTTTTGAAAGCTGAGTTTTAAGCCAGCTTTTTCACTCTCCTCTGTCACTACCATCAAGAGGCTCTTCAGTTCCTCTTCACTTTCTGCCATAAGGGTGGTGTCACTTGCATATCTCAGGTTATTGCTATTTCTCCTGGCAGTCTTGATTTCAGCTCATGCTTCATCCAGCCCAGCATTTCACATGATGTACTCTGCATAGAAGTTAGATAAGCAGGGTGACAATAGGCAGTCTTGATGTACTCCTTTCCCAATTTGGAACCAGTCTGTTGTTCCATGTCCAGTTCTAACTGTTGCTTGTTGGCCTGGATACAGATTTCTCAGGAGGCAGGTCAGGTGGCCTGGTATTCCCATCTCTTGAAGAGTTTTCCACAGTTTGTTGTGATCCACACAGTCAAAGGCTTTGGCATAATCAATAAAGCAGATGTTCTTCTGGAACTCTCTGCTTTTTGGATGATCCAATGGATGTTGGCAATTTGATCTCTGGTTCCTCTGCCTTTTCTAAATCCAGCTTGAACATCTGGAAGCTCACGCACGGTTCATGTACTGTTGAAGCCTGGCTTGGAGAATTCTGAGTATTACTTTGCTAGCATGTGAGATGAGTGCAATTGTGGGGTAGTTTGAACATTCTTTGGCATTGCCCTTTTTTGGGATTGGAATGAAAATTGACCTTTTCCAGTCCTGTGGCCACTGCTGAGTTTTCCAAATTTATTGGCATATTGAGTGCAGCACTTTCACAGCATCATCTTTTAGGATTTGAGCACTGGAATTCCATTACCTCCACTAGCTTTGTTCGTAGTGACACTTCCCAAGGCCCACATGACTTTGCATTCCAGGATGTCTGGCTCCAGGTGAGTGATCACACCACCGTGGTTATCTGGGTCATGAAGCTTTTTTGTATAGTTCTTCTGTGTATTCTTGCCACCTCTTCTTAATATCTTCTGCTTCTGTTAGGTCCCTACCATTTCTGTCCTTTACTACTCATCTTTCCATGAAATGTTCCCTTGGTATCTCTACTTTTCTTGAATAGATCTCTAGTCTTTCCCATTCTGTTGTTTTCCTCTATTTCTTTGCACTGATCACTGAGGAAGGCTTTCTTATCTCTCCTTGATATTCTTTGGAACTCTGCATTTAAATGGGTGTATCTTTCCTTTACCCCTTTTCCTTCGCTTCTCTTCTTTGCTCAGCTATTTGTAAGGCCTCCTCAGATTTCCATATTCATTTATACTACTAGACAATTGATAAAATACTTTGTACATCATCCTTGAATAAAATCCCAAGGCACAACTTTACCATCTCACTAGATCTTTAATTTTATTTATTTATTTTTGGCTGCACTGGGTCTTGTTGCTTCGAAGGGCTTCCTCTAGTTGCAGTGAGCAGGGGCTACTCTTTGCTGCAGTGGGCGGGCTTCTCACTGCAGTGGCTTCTCTTGCTGTGGAGCTCTAGGTGTGTGGGCTTTAGTAGTTGTAGTATGCAGGCTTGGCAGCTGTGGCTCGCAGGCTCAGACCCTTCACAGCATGTGGAATCCTTCAGGACCAGGGATCCAACCAGATTCCCATTCACTGTGCCACCAGGGAAGTCCTCACTTGATCTTGATGGCAATATTAACTAAAAGCCCAATGCATCTGCCTCTCCTTCTGAAGCCCATAGATTATTTAGGTACACCTTTCACAAAAATATTAGAATCTGAAAATTAATGACTTCCTAAAAGGGAATGGGATGTAAATGAGAGGGTAGGGTAGATGAGGAAAGAGAAGGAACTGTATTGTACTTTAATTAAAAAAAAATTAATTTATGTATTTAGCCTGGGCTGGGTCTTTGTTGGCTGCTCGTGAGCTTTCTCTAGTTATAGGGAGGGGGCTTCTCATTGCCGTGCCTTCTGTTTCAGAACACAATCTCTAAGGCACTTGGGTTTCAGTAGTTTTAGCATGGGGGCTCAGGACTTGTGGTTCCTGGGCTCCAGAGCACAGGCTCAACAGTTATGGCACACTAGCTGTGGGCCTAGATGCTCCATGGCATGTGGGATACTCCTGGATCAGTTCTCAAACCTGTGTCTCCTGCACTCACAGGCGGATTCTTTACCAGTGAGCCAGTAGGAAAGACCTGAATTGTACTCTTAAAAACATGCTTTCATTGAATGATCACAACAGCATGGTATCACCCTTGTTTTACAGCTGATGGAACTATGAGTAAACAGTGGGCAGATATCCACCCTCCTCCAGTTCTCTATTTAAAGAACACCTCTAAAGATTCTTAGTTCAGTTGCTGTAATTCTTCTAATTTATAATTTACTAATATACCACTGAGGCTGTGGCTGATACAAACTCAATCTACTAGCAC